AACAAGAGAGGTGTATTGATAGACTCAGGATATCATGCAATCACAGTATGGTTTGGGTTGGAAGGGACATTAAAGCTCATCCAGTTTCAACCCCTTACCAGGGGCAGGGACACCTTCCACTGACCAGGCTGCCCAAAACCCTGTCCAACCAGTGCTGTGCCACACTCAAAGTAAAGAAGCTCTTCCTCATATTCAGTTTGAACTTTCTGGGTTTCAGTTTACGCCTGTTGCCCCTCATCCTTTTGCTGGGCACCACTGAAGTGTCTGGCTGCATCCTCTTGACACCTGTGCTTAATGTATTTGTATGCATTCATAAGATCCCCTCTCAGCTGTCACTTCTCCAGGCTGAACAGTCCCAGCTCTCTCAGCCTTTCCTCATATGAGATGCTCCAGACCCTGAATAATTTTTGTAGCTGGACTCTTTCCAGTAGCTCCTTGCCTTTCTTTAACTGGGGAGCCCAGAATGGGACACAGTGCTCCAGATGAGGCCTCACCAGGGCAGAGTAGAGGGAGGATGACCTCCCTTGACCTGCTGGCAATGCTCTTCCTGCGTCACCCCAGGATACCATTGCCCTTCTTGGCTAGAAGAGCACATTGCTGGCTCATGGACAACTTGCTGTCCACCAGGACCCTCAGGCCCTTCTCCACAGAGCTGCTTCCCAGCAGGTCACCTCCCCAGCCTTGCATGCACTTATTTCTCCCTGGATGCAGGACCCTATACTTGCCTTTGTTGAATTTCAATAGGTTGCTCTCCACCCAACTTGGCCTGTCCAGGTCTTGCTGAATGCCTAAATGATCTCTAAACTGGTCCTCCTCAATCATCCTGTTTGTCACAAGGATTGTCTTTGAAGAAGGGAGAGGTAAGAGCTCAGGGGCTGAAGGCTGTTGCTATTCAGCCAGATCTGAATAACCATGTAGCTTCTAGCAAAGTCAGCGGTATATGAGGTATCTAGTGCATTCCCCAGAATAGTGTCCAAGGCTTGGCTACGCCAGTGACAAATGGGTGACATGGGCAGGTAACGTGGAGAAGCCCTGGTCAGTGCTAGTTGTGGGACACAGAGAGGACTGATAGGTTGCTATGTTAAAGAATCTGAAAATAAGTGAAATGAAACAACCAGGGAACCATTGCTCGCTATTTCTCTTAAAATAGCAGCTAAGGACACTCAATGAAGTTATCAAACGCACATTACAGTAGAAAAAAAGGAATTAATTCCCCACCCCCAGTGTTATTTCTTTAAAAGGTGGAAGCCGTCACTAGAGGATTCTAGAGACCTCAACAGCATAAAGGGATTAATAACAAAAATACCCTCAACAGCTTTATAGAGCCACTATTAAGCACAGTTGTTTACACAGGGCCGTTGCAAAAAGCCCACTAAGTTGTCTTCTTGCTTTTTTCTTTCTTTTCACACCTGCAATTGGTTATAACCACCAATACACTGCTTTTACCAGGAAAGCTTTTCAGCTTTCAGCCAGAGCCCACAGATGGCATAAACCAAAAGTCCTCCATGGTTGAGGCTGCCCCGCAGTGTGAAGGCAATTTCTAACAGCAAGGCACGTCAGGCAGGCAGGCAGTTGCTTTAATCTGGAACAAGCAGCATCTGGTTTGGCCATGTGAGTGGGCAGGGGCACCCAGGGTGGAGGTTTGCCAGGGGAGCGCTCGCCTCCCTTTGCCTTGGAGTTCTGCGACAGTGAATTCCAACACATAAAACTGACATTCATATGATGATTAAAACAACCCAAACACCTTCCCTTATGCCAAATAAGCATCTAGAATGGGTTTGCTTCTTCGTTTTATCTCAACCGTACTTCTTCAACCAGCATCAGAAGACCCAAGAGCCTCTAAATCGATTCATCTCACTGGTACCTTCCTGAGAGAGCTGGGCATTTCTCCTGGAAGTGCAGCACTCAGTCCTTTACCTTCCCTGATTCCTAACAACCTTCCCAATCCTCCTCAGGCTTTCCATGGCTTCTTTTCTAAAATGCATTGGGGAGTAGTTATGCAGATGCTGCCCAAATGATGGGATGGGCAGCCAAGGCTCCAGGAGCCAGGGAGAACTTTTCCTTCTCTTCTGTCACAGGGTGCATGATGAGCTGGAGGAAAAAGCCCAAGAGGAAGGGCAGTCCCTTCCTGACTAAATTAAGGAATTAACTAAGGAATTTTGCAGCCTATGGTCAGGACTAGGACATAATGCTCCTTTGGGAGCTACATGTGCTTGCAAGGTGTGATGAGCTCAGCACTCGCTGTTATACCACTGTGGGGGTAAGGATACTGGTTCTCTTGGGCTGCATCATACTTTTCTGAAGACGGACATAGAATGGTTTGGGTTGGAAGGGACCTTAAAGACCATATAGTTCCAACCCCTCTTGCCATAGGCAGGGACACCTTCCACTAGACCAGGTTGCTCCAAGCCCCATCCAACCTGGCCTTGAACACTGCCAGGGATGGGACAGCCACAGCTTCCCTGGGCAACCTGTGCCAGTTCCTCACCACCCTCACAGGTAAGAGCTTCTTTCTCAGATCTCATCTAAATCTACTGTCTTTCAGCACAAATCTATACCCCCTTGTCCTATCCCTACCTGCCCCTCTCCAGCTTTGCTGTTGGCCTCTTCAGGTACTGGAAGGCTGCTCTAAGGTCTCCCTGGATCCTTCTCTTCCCCAGGCTGAACAAGCCTAACATCAGAGGAGAAACACCAGTTAATACCAAATTAACACTCGCTTCCCTGTGTGCCTCTACTGTGACTCTGAAATATATTACTTCTATTAAAAAAACCACAGGAAAACTGTCACAGACTGATTTTGCATGTGCAATCCTCCCTGCTTCAGACAGATTACATGGATATTATTAAATTCCAGACTGGGGCCCTTTAATTGTTTACTTTAATTGTTTATATAATTTTTAAATTACCACAGTTAAACATTTTAAAATCGGGTGGCAAAATCTTTACTGTTTCACAAGCATATAAGAACATAAAGTTATCTATATGGGTGTGGAGTGGAGGTGGGGCATTCAAAGCTTTATCTTTTCATTATTTAAATCCCAGGCAATGTTCAGTTTGGAAATTAAGCCAGATGGATTCCAGAGTGCAGCTCAAGGTCATCTAAATACTGTGTTCTGCTCCAAACTGTAAGCATGATCATGATGAACCACACAAAGCCATCAACAGAAATTTAATACACTGATAGATACTCAGTGATCTTCTGAAAGAGCACGTCGAATACTTCTTACCGTCAAGTGCAAGGACACAAGTAGCCCTTGTTTAGAAGCAATACAGTAGGAAGGAAATCTCTGCCTGTTGGTATCATAGGAAAAGCAGATTTATGCTGTTGCTTTGTAAATATGTGCTTTGTAAGAACTAGCTGTTTCATAGCCAGATGGTTCATTTAAGAGTGTCTTATTCTGGATACATTAAGTCACTCACCTGCAACTGCAAACAGAACACTTTGCTCTTGCAGAGCTGCACCACAACAATATTCTGTGTACTGTGCAGCAGGTCATCTATTGCCAAAACAACCGCAGACACACACACATACACTCCTACCCTTACTTAAAAATCAACCTCTACTTTTTTCATGAAAGCACCTATACTTGAGTGATAGTTTTACTGCTTTGCAGGATTTAAGATTCACTTTAATAGGAAAGTGTCACTAATGAAGCATACGTAACTGGGTGTCAGCCGCTCTATTTTTAACACGTGTGCTCCAGCACAGCGCCTGCCGCCAGCCTCCTCCCGGCTCAAGGTGATGCCTTGACCTCTACAGCAGCAGCTCCGCAGCACATGGGAGCGGCTCCAGGATCCTGATGTTCAGCTTCTGCACAGAATAGGGCTTCATTAAGCACAAAACCCAAAATTACAGTTAAAAGGACTACCTCTTTTTAACAAAAGACTGTTTTTTGCTACAGCAAACATTTCTTACACAGTTGATTCTGCCACAGCCATCCACCCTTCCCCTACCTGAAATTACCTTTTATTTTTTTTTTTTTACACCTTCCATCAGTCTAGCTCACAGCACCTGGAGTTCCTATTGTTCCTGCCTAGGTGTTCGAGGCCAAGTTGGATGGAGCTTTAAGCAACCTGGTCTAGTGGAAGGTGTCCCTACCCATGCAGGGGGCTGGAACTAGATGAGCTTTAATGTCCCTTTCAATGCAAACTACTCCATAATTCTATTATTTCTTATGCCTTCTAAACGCAGTGCTCCCAAGTTTGGGAAATGCCAGGTTAACTGGATTAAACTAAATCAAACAAGGAAATGCTTCCACTTGTCCTTTTTACCTTAGGCCAAGCCTTTCCATTAAGTCAAAGCCAGCATTTCCAAATAAATCAATGTTTTCTGGAACAGAAGGTCTAAAAGACCAATGGATTAGTCTGCTGAGCCACTACCTCTGCCAACTTGAACTAATACCACATTTCCAACATGCTATGGAAATGATGTGGGAACGTGCATTTTGGAAAGAATATTTAGTGAAGTAATTAAACCTGGCTCATACAGAGATTTCCATGTAGATCTGGTAAGTGTATCTTTTCACAGAGGAAAGGACCCTTTATACATCTTTAGGAAATGGTAAGACCTCAAATCACATAGAAATTTCAAAATATTTGCTCTGACGATGACTCTTATGTAAACACAGCACAGAGTCTTGCTGAGGAATCATTCCCTATGTAGGTCAGGAAAAGGAAAGGCAACTTGTATGCAGTCTTGCAATGGAGAAAAGCAGATACAGAAATCAGTGTATTTTTAATTTCCCTGCCTGTTTCCCCTCAAGCAGCAATGGATTGTTCCAGATGTAGAGAAAACAGTATTTGCAGATATATATAAAAGTTTATTTTACAAACAGCAACTACCTTTGAGTAACAAAATTGCAAAACCACAGACCAACATTAGAAAAAACAGCTCAGGGGTACGTTTTCTATCTGAAGTAGAACTTAACAGACTTCATTAAGTAAAAATACACCCTCCCCCCTTCACTCAAACCCCTCCCCCAGTCATCTACCAGATAGAATTTCTTTATAAAGCTTTAATTCAAGATATGAAATAGCCATTAATGGCATTACAGTAATTTTGGACAACTGCAATTAACTGATTGACTGTATTTTTATTACCTTTACCTGATCTTAAAAAGTCAACTCTGATCTGAAATACGATGAAGTCCAATGCTGGAGCAAGTTCTTCTCTAGTAAGTAAATGACAATCTTTATAGTTGTGCATTTTTACAGACCACTAATCCACTAGTTCCATTTTCTCAGTAAGGGAAAAAAACAAAACTGTGAAACTCTTTTGAGTTAGCACTATCTGTTGAGGACTTTGAAATGGTGGCTACTGTTAGAAACATGCCTGTAGATGTGTACTGACTTGAGTAATAAATGTCCTTAGTGTTAAAAAAAGCACAAGAAGCTTACAAAATATTGATTTGAAAGGATTACATGCACACAATTTTTCATTGAGCTTCAAGAGGAGGAAGGGTATAAGCCCAGAATTTTGGGTTCTTCTCAAAAGTGGAAAAAACAGTATGACAAATTCAGTTTTGGGAACTTACGACAAACGTCTTACTCAGCTGTTCATGAGCAGAAATGGAGGGCACCATCACTATCTTCAAACTTCACTCTGAGCTTTCTTTTCATGTTTCTGAAGTGTATCAAAAGCTAATTTTGCATAGCTTAATTCAATCAAAGAGACTGCATGAATTAATGTCTAAGCAAGAAATTACCACTTTCAATTTTCAAAGCTTGTTGGGTCCTGATGAGGTTGTTGGGTTTTTTGTAATTTCAGTATCTGAAAAATTTGAGAAAATGAAAGCATCTCAAGACATTACAGAAAGTTGGTAATGAAAACTATTATCATACAACAGTACCCTTTAGCTCTAATAAAGCTGTGTTAATCTGTTTTTTCACTACAGAGCTCACTTTTATTATTATGCCACTATAAAACTGTGTCTAAGTACACAACTTCCTAGACACTGAAAAACTTTACAAATTATTTAAAATCAACTCAAATCAGAATATCGTAAAAATTGCTCAGTGCTCTTCAGCTGAAATCTGTGTGTTTTTCTGCAAACCATTTACCTGTAACACAGAGTCATTTTTGGTATTAAACTTTACTTTGAAAGTACTGTCCATGCTTTTTACCAGGCATACCAGGCTTTTTGTAGTTATATCACTTTAACAATATGTAGATCAGTATTTGCAATATCAGTATCTGATATTCCCTATGGCAAATGGAATACACCTACAGACATTCTTATAAAGGAACCATTATGGTTTGTTTTTTTTTAAAAATCATTACATATCATTAAAAAAGTGTTTTGAACAAACTTGTGATATACTCAACAGTTTACAACATTCAACTTCAAAATATGCTGAAGTACACCAAGCACTGTAATGTGAACTGAAATTGAATTCAAAATTCTTAGACACTTGAGAGTATTGCTGTTTTATCACAAAATTAACTTTAAATGTAAAGTTTAGACAAAATGGATATCAAGAGCAAAATCCGTCATGCTTTTGCTCACTATTGTCAGTTTAACAATTCGTGTTGTGTAATCTCACCCTTTTCAGCAGACTTCTGAAATCACAGTACGGAAAGGATTAAGACAGAGTGGCAGCCTTTGTTTTCATCACCTAGCTCTTGTGCGTATGCACTGTATATAATGCAATAATCAACAAGACATCACAGAAACCCATCTTCCAGCATTAGAAAAAGCATTTTAATAAACTAGAAATGGCAGCCTTTGTTAGAAGGTTTGGTTTTTTTCTTCACAGTTTTACAGTTGCTAGCATCTATTTAACAGGAACAGGCAGGAAGACCTAAGATGTTTATAAACATACTTGAAGACAGTAACAATAGCTGCACCCAGAAAAGTGGTGGCAGCAAATTCGCCTGTCATTCATGGCTTGGAAACCTAATTCAAGGAAATAGTACTTTTTATTTTTTTTTAATTTCATGTTTTGTAAAAGCAGTTGATATTAAAAAAAATTAATAAAAAACCCAGTTAAGTTCAGTACTCTATACTTGTATGGAGTACTATGTATGGAGTATACATGACTGTATACTCCGTAAGTATACAGTATACTTACACTTCATAAGTATACAGTCTCTCAGGCGAGTTCACCGTTAAATAGGAAAGTTTCAACTAACTCAGTAAACACCCTTCAACTTTACTTGTGACACTGTCAAAACGGTTTTAACATAACACTGAAAAAAAAATTATTAAATGCAGTTTCCATCGTAAAAGAAACGGTTTCAGCTATATCTGCTGCTTTCACTGGGGCTCCGATTGTTAGAGTAACTGCGATCGCTTTCACTGTCAGAGCCGTAAGATCTACAAAGAAAAGATTAAAATGCCTCAAAATTGTATTTTGAGCTTCAAATTCAAAATTTCATCATGTAAAAAAAAATGTCAAGAAGCACAACAGACAGCAAGAAAACATATAAGAAGTCTTTTACAGGATATTTCATATAACTGAAGTATTCGTTAAAGGACTCTCAAATTAAAATGATGATTAATTCAAAGGATGAAAACCCTGTGTAACTCCAGTCAAACAACTGTGGTTGTAACTACATAATTTCTTGTCTTCTCTGATAACTACATAACTTCTTGTCTTCTCATCCCAAATAAATGGGTTTGTAAATGCTAATAGCTGAGAAGTATATTCTAACAAACATAATTTTATAATTGCAAGCATTTTCTCAATTATTTCCCAAATCCTTGCTTTATATATGTTACAGTGCTTCATCTAAAGAAGGATCTTATGAATTAGGCCCCGTAACAACAACAGAGAAGGATGACTGTCTGCAGAGTGGAAATTGTAGATTAAAATATTTTGGCTTATACGGACAAATTCCAAGCACCTGGCTAAACATCAAGATAGAGTCCAGATGGTTTCAGACAAGCCACAGGACATATTCTAATTACACAGAATAAACTTTCATTAGAGATTTTCTAGCCTCATGCCTGTAGAGAAGGCTTTCTAAACAAAAGGTGAACACATCCTAATCCAGCATTGTTCCTCTGAAGCTTCCCAACATCCTAAACCAATGATTTTGCAAGTCTTTTTTCCACAAGCCAATCTCATTTCCCCTCAAACACATGATGAAAATTGTCCTACTGTTAAAGCTAGATGTGGAAATGGGCGAGAACAAAGTCCATTAAAAGCTGGTACAAAGTTCTAGAAAAATAAGCATGAGGACAGCAGGGGATAAAAATTTACAATAGTCTTAGGGGTCTTCCTGATTCACCACTAACGTGGGACATTAAAAAGGTATAAAAGCAAATCATCACTGATAGAATTTACCATCCAATGACATTCTCTGCAGACTGGGTATTTTTTAATCCACAATAGGACACTTGATTTAAATCTTATGTTCACTGTAGTTTTTAAGAAACATTTAAAATTAATAAAAAATTACATGTATGTATTTTGAATGCATACATACAATGAACTGGAGCCTTCTCAAATCTTTCTTCCCCTAGTTTCTTCCCCATCCTCAAATTTAGTAAGTTAGAAATTCTGATTTCCTCAATCACATGCTTGCTCTAATTTGAACTGGCTTTAATTACTACTTTTGCTAACAGTGCATTTTTTACGCTTGGGGGAAAAAGAACCACATCAGCCTTCATGAACATCCTAAGTATATATTTAGCAAATTCTTTTACATAAATTCAGTGTCAAGTCATGCTAGCAAAAACCTACCTGGATCGCCTATCATAACTTCTGGATCTTCGATAGCTGTCACTCCTTTTACTTCGACTTCGACTTCTGCTGTAGTAACTATCATATGTGTATGACCTACTTTATAAGAAAAAGAAAGTTAAGTGTAAATTTACAATTCCTTGTCTAAAATGTATAATATATGTATCAAAGACATTCATATACAGAGATGAGCAGCTATACAGAAATTACTTTTGAAGGGTGTGTCAAACAATAATTCTATATTTTATAAAAGTTTAAATACAAGTACCTTAAAAACAACAGTAAAAATCTCAAATTTATTAATCCAGAAAAGAGACAGTAGCCATTTAAACAGTTCCACATTTCACATTTTCTCTACAAATTGTAGATGCAGTAAACATCATTTATACCTCAGTTGTTTTTTTTTAACCAATAAAGGGAAATGGGTACACTATTACTTATCTCGTATCATCTATAACTGCAATGCCAAGATGATTTTGTTATTTTTTGCTTTTAAATGTATCTGATGTTGATTTTGCTTTGATTCAAGGTGCTATCACGGTATTATAAAATGTAAATACCATAGATAAAGAGGTACTCTTAGATTTTATTTTTTTATAATATGCACATTTACTACAGAGTTTGTATAAAACTATAATACAGCTTTTATAAAGCTATAATCCATACCTGGATCGACTATGATGATCGTAAGAACTACTTCTGGATCTACTTCTACTATAGGTTCGACTGACAAAAACAAAAACAGAGATGTTTTAAGTTAATCAGAAACAAGTGCTGAAGAGAGAGGGAAGAGGGGGAAGCAAGAGACAAGTAACATATTTTGATCAAAATTCCTTATCTGTACTACAAAACATTAGATAAAATTATTTTTCAGTAACAGGAAATTCTGAAATCCAACTATTCTAACCTGCACATTTCAAGTAGCTACTTCAGACTGTAGTACGCATAGCCAAGCGTATAGCCAAGCTCAGAGACTGAGGCATCAGACTGGTTTGTAATACATCCTAACACTGTCACCAGTTAGAGAAACTTACCTACGGCTCTTGTAACTGTGGTAAGAACTACTTCGACTTCTTGACCGATCTCTACTATACCATCCTCTGCTTCGGCTTCTTGTGTAGCTTCTTGATCTACAATGAATGAACAACTTTGAAAAGCACAAAATAGGATGTAAATGAAGAGAAGACCATTATAAAGCTTCACCTTTTAAGCTAGGTATTTATTCCATACTTGATAAGTGACATAGCTGAAAAAGAAAATAAGACTTCAAAATATCAGAGCTTTCACTTTCAGCTGTGGGAGCAGCACAAACTTCTTACCGATATGAAGATGTAGAACTTCGTGAGTGACTTCTTGAGTGACTGTAAGATATGGACCTTGTTCTGCGTCTGGATTTAGATTCAGATTTACTTCGTGACCTACTGAGACTCCTGGATGGGCTATTATCATCTCTACTTGGAGATTCTTCCTCACTGGAACTTTCTTGGTTCCTTGGCCTTCGATTTAGCCGTGCTGTTTTTCTAACTTCATCAAACAGAGATCCGGGCCTTACTTTATTTTTAGCTTTTATTTCAATTCTTAAACCTGCTGGTTTAGGCTCTGGTGCTGAAGCTATGTTCTTAACTTCTGCAGCAGTACTAATTGTGGTTGGTTGTAAGTTAGCAACACCTTGCAAAGGCTTCCATTTATTATCTATCGTATTGCTTTGTGTATTTTCAGTAATTTCACCTTTTAAACTACAGTCTTTAGCACTAGACACAGGGGCAGAATTATTTTCTTGTATTCCCATTTCTTTTTCTTCTTTAATATTCATGAAGTCTATAACATTGTTTCCTAGTTTGACAGCATCTTGTTCATGGGTCTTAACCTGTAAATCTTTGTTTATACTAGCAGCTAAAGCCTGAGGTTTAGCAGTGAGAATGACAGGAGACAAAACATCTACATCAACCTTCCCTGGTGAGTTACGATCTGGAGTACAAATCTCCATGTTGTCATCTGTCTCAATAACATCTTGCAATCCATTCTGGTTACTTTCTTCAGCTTGTTTCATCTCATCTTTGCAACCGGTCACATTTATTTCTGCATTTAAGATACTGTCTGAAGCATTCATTTCAATGCTATCTTTATTAAGGTTATTACAATCTGGAGAGGCACCACGTGTAGGGTTTTTAGTTAAAAGGTTTTCATCCACAGAAGGCTTTTCAGTTAAATTTTTCATTTTATCTTTGACTATTTCATCCTTGTCATAAACTTGGTTTTTATCTTTTAAGTTCCTGTTAAGCTGCTTTTCTTTATCATCCTTGGTAACTGGCTTTTCATTAATCTCATCATCATCTTCTTCACCATACTCCAGGGGGGGCTGCCAATGAAACATTTCTTTTCTTTTCTGAACTTTGTGTTTCTTCTCCTTTTTCCCTTTTGATTTGTCTTTTGCTTTTTTTGAATGGGATTTTTTAAGAGCTTTTTTCGATCCACGTTTGTGTTTTTTTGACTTTCCTCTAATGTTTGTTGAGCTAGAACAAGAGCTGTCAGACTCAGAAGATGACAACTGCTTGCTTGTCTTCCATGTACAATCAGAATCCAGAAAGCCTTCTGAAGAATTTGACCGTTTTTTTATTCTTTTGGTAACACTAAGCTCTGCATCAGATCCTGATGTGGCCTCTCCTTCTTCTTTACTAGAGGAGAGTCTGGAATCTCCCCTATTACGCCTTGCCTCTCCTTTTTCAGAATTTGATTCAGAGTCCCATTTACTACCTGAATAGGATTTTTGTTTAGTTTTTCCACCACCCCTAGGTTGCTCAGAAGATTTCTCCTTAACTGCTTTCTTTTTAGCATCATCAGAATCCTGCTCACACTTGGGTTCCTTCTCCCCTTGCTCAGAACTTAAGCTATTTTTGTCCTGTTTCTGAGTACCTCTTTCTAACTGAAAACGGCCTTCTTTTTCTTGGACTACTTTCATTTTGGCAGAATGCTCACTGTCAGTAGAGAAGTCTGAAGATGATGAACTATCACTCTCTTTCAAGCCCTGAGAAGACTCATCATAGTCTTTTGTACGCTTATAAGGGACAGTGCTTTCAGAGCTTGTTTCTTGCCTCAGTTTAAGAGGTCGAGCCTTCTGATCACTTGATGCAGATTTTCTTTTGCTTCTGTCATCATCACTAAGGGAAGAGTAAGACGTTGACTCACTATAACGTGACCTGTCACTGCAGTATTTACTCAGTGATGGTGACCGGCCAGAAGAATGAGATTTTGTCCTAGAGCTTGATGGACTTCTAGATCTCGTATAAGATCTTGAGTATGACCTACTTCGAGAAGACCTGCTTCTTGATCTCAGACAACTGTCTGAGCTTCTGTCACTATGGTATTTGGAATAACCACTTCGATCGCTATCTGAACTCCTTTGTCGCTTATGATATGAGGAAGTAGTATTAGGCTCTTTAACAGCTACTAAATTGTAATTAGTTTGTGTGGGTATTAAATGTGTCGTTTTAGCTTTCATTTCCTGAATTCGCTCATAAGATGGCTTCCATGGTTTCTGCCCAGGTTTCCACCTTGAAGGTGGTGGACTCTCACTTAAGGGTATAACAGGGAGGTTTTCTGAGACAACTGGTGGTACGACAACTTTATCACTTGGGAGTATAGCTGCTCTTACAGGCTCAGCAGTCTTGGTAAGCTTATTCTCATTTAATCGCGTTGAAATATTTCGTGGAGAACTGGAAACTGTCTTTTGATGCCTAGGGTTAGAACTTGACCTTGACCTACTTCGTGAACATGATGATTTAGAGGCTGATCTTGACCTAGAGCTTCTTCGGGAGTAAGATCTTGATTTAGACCTAGATCTGGACCTGTAGTATGATCGAGTCCCTCTGCTTGATAAAGTCGATGAGCTCTGGTCTTCCTTGTCAGATTTAGACCAGTCCCTTCTGGAGGAATGCCTGGAAGATGATGAAGAAGAACGAGATTTCCTGTCACGATCACAAGATGATTTTGTCCTCCTGAGGAAGGAATGAGAAGACTCTACATCTGATGAAGCGGACGTTTTCTTCTTTTTTGTTTGCTTGTGCTTCTTGAAATGCTTCTGCTTTTTAGATTTCTTTTTATGTTTCATCTTTTTTTTATCTTTTCTGTGCTTTTTGTGGTGGCTAGAGTATCTCACAGTACTTAAATCAGAATAACCGTTACGTGACCAAGATCTTGATCTCTGGGACACACTTCTTTCATCCCATCTGCTTGTACATGGGTCGCTCAACCTAGAAAACAAACCCCACACTGAGTGGAAATTCTTTAAAAACTTCAGATAAATTAAGTATTTTCCACACCTCCAAGGCAAGTAAGTAAGTTTAAGAGAAATTAACACAGCCCCCCTTTACTACCAGACAATTATGTTTTAACTGAGCTTGTTACACTCTTTTTAAGATACGAATTACATCACTATCAAGAAAGCTACTTCTCTCTAACAACTGAATCAGCCAACATCAGAAAATTTTGCATACTGTAGTGCCTGTGTGAAGAGAGTCAATGCTTTAACTACCCTAGACTACATGTCTTTGACATCTACAACAAAAGGATTCTTAAACATTTAAATACAAATTTTAAAACATCTTATTTAGTAGTCTTTTAGGTGGTATGTTGCAATACAGCAATAAACTGAACACACAATATATAAAATTATTCAGCAATAATTTATGATAGATAAAAAAGAAAAACTGAAAATATTACATATAATTTGTTATAAGCTCCTATTTATTATCAAGTCATCAGAAATTCTGAAGAGCTGGCTTCCATCTCTAAGTTTGCAATTGCAGAAAATACATAACTAAAACAACGTAAGATTGATGGATTTTGTTGTCTTACTTGGTATTCAAAGAAACCACATAACCAAGTTTGAGGTTAAAGGAAATCTGACATGACTAGCTATAGGGAAAGCAACAGGAAACTGGACAGGTCAATTAATTACTTCTTAAATAAGTATCCAAGATGACACCATGACAAACAACTCTTCTGACACTTTTCAGCTTGTGTTCATCTGGTGTCACATTAGCAAAGCAGAAAGGTTTTAAGAAAGTTTTCCACTTTTATTTTTTGGAACTTAAATGGAACATGTTAACCACAAAGTTGTTCACATTTTCTTCTTTTCAAATATGAATAACACAGTACATGCACATAATTTATTAAAGCTTGTGTAAAAAAAACAAGACATTTTAAAATTGCAGTAAGGATCTTACTTATCGCCTTTACTCCACTTTTCTCCACTAGGTGGTCTGTATGTTCGTAATCTCTGCATTTCCTCCTTCCAGTGAGGAGGGGTCTCACTGCTCTCATCATCATCAGATTCAGAACACGATCGTGATTGAGGTGGGGTGTGATATCGCTATGAAAGCAAGGAAAGATAGTTATATATTATATTTTTCTTTACAAAAGACTGGAAAATACAGCAAATAGAACTATATCATAAAATCTTACAATGGTTTAGGCTGGAAGGGACCTTAAAGCTCATCTCATTCCAACCCCCCTGCCATAGGCAGGAACACCTTCCACTAGACCAGGTTGCTCCAAGCCCTGTTCAGCCTGGCCTTGAACACCATCAGGCAGGGGGCAACCACAGGTTCTCTGGGCAACCTGTGCCAGGGCCTCCACCACCCTCACAGGAAAGTTCTTCCTCAGATCTCATCTTAATCTCCCCTCTGTCAGTTTAAAGGCATTCCACCTTGTCCTATGCCTAGATGCCCTTGTAAAAATTGAAGAAAAAAGAAAAAGTGCATCCATACAAGGTCTACGAGGTAAACACAAATTCCAGGTTTCCTGCCAAAAAATACCCACGCTTGGTATGCATATATCCCACACAGTTGGCTGTATCTTTTCATTCTCCAAAAGCATTTCACAAATAGGGCCCAGGAGCTAACCCGTTTTTACCAGACATAAAAGGAAGAATCAAGAAGAAGTCATAGATTCTCTTTACGTAACACCTTTTGGAATAACACAATTACTGCAGATAACCAGCTTTTTTGGGGGGATACTAAAGCACAGATGTTTCACTTCAGTTAGAAGACTCTTAACTGCCTGTATGAGAAAAGACAAGCCCTATTTCAAAAGTTAACACTGTTCACTCCTTCAGAAATGGGAATCCAGTGTAAGCCACCTTCCAAAACCACCCCCCCCCCCCAAAAAAAAAAAAAGACATCTTCCACAGAAGTGTAATGAAGTATCATGCTTAAAACATTACACTTAAGCAGGCAATAAGAACTACTTGTGCAGCAGCAAAAGAACTCAAATGTTGCTAACTCATTATTTTCCATTACCCAGTTGGATACACTTAGGTAAATTCTGTGAGGAAATTAGATGCTCCTTGACTCAATAAAGAAAAACATCTGGAATTCAGTTGATTATTTTAAGCCACTTAGAAATGAAAGCAATTAGGGAAAAAATATTGCCCCCCCCTGAAAAAATACAGAAAGATGTATGTATTGGTTTATTCAGTTGATTACAGGCAGAAGTTCTTAAGATATCCTGTTTATATAAAAGGTAACCTGCCATGAAGATTTGGAGGTTCTCTACTCTTTGAGGTGAAGCAATGACTACTTAAAAAAAAACCTCTTACAAATAAAGGGCATACAATAGGTTGCGAAAGTGTCATGAACCTTCCTAATTCTCTCATATTACATTCAGGAGTCTCACAGAACCCCAGAAAATTCAAAACTAAAAGCGAGTATTTTGAAAAACATCAGACAAGTTCACCCTGGCTACAAACTTTTGCTAATCAGTCTATTAGAGACAGGAGAAAAAATGTGTTTCTCCAACTAAATGCTAGCCCTGAATTATTTCTGTTATGACTGGTTTTCATTCTTGATTTTGCCAAGAAGGTACCAAAAATATGAAAAACAGGACAGAGACACCCAAATCCCTGACAAAAGCCAATTCCACTCAACTTTAAACTAGTTTTCTGAAAGTCTTTTTTTGACATAAGTATTTTAAAACACTCCATTTAAAAAGCCTCCTTTCGTGGATATCACAAATAACAAATACAAATGAAAGATTTAATGTCATGGCTGGCAAATGAGGGCTGGTTCTCAGGTGAGGCTCAAACACTACAATACCTTGTAGTGGCTACAGCCAAGCCATTAATTTTGTGGCTTAAAATAATTGCACCATAGGAATCAAGAGAAAAGTACTTCTCAAATTCACTGGCTACCACATAAGAAAACAATGCTCAGAGAAGCCTCAGTTAAGATTACTGTAATGAAAAATGTTGTCAACTATGCAGATACTGGTTTTGGGGTTTTTATTTGTTTGGTTTTGTTTTTTTTTTTAGAACTTCCACCTACAAAAAAAATTGTCAGGACCAAACCTTGGTTTGGTTTATGGTTACCCACACGCTGCTTGCAAAATTGATCGAGGAAAACATTCAAAACGGGAAGAATATGCTCAGTCATGGTATGCTACAATTTGAAATACACCAAAATCGAATGCACAATTACAAAAGCTTTTCTTATTTTCTCCCTCTTTTACTGACTGAAAAACACGAACACAGCTGCACAGTGCTTTGAGTCCCGTACTGAGGTTTATTAGAGAAAAGTTTTGCTTGAGTAGAGTTGAACTAAGGCAAAAGCAAAAGTCTTCATGATACCAAAGATTTGAAGTGGAAGTGATATTTGCATAACAGGGGCAGTCTTCAGAAAGGAAGGTAGGGAAAAAGGACAAAGTCTGCAGGTCTGTAAAAAGGCTTTGCTATCAGCATTGCAATGAAGTAACTTCTTGCCCATGCAGAGCCATCTATGAAATAACACAGACATGATCTCAGTCCAGACAGCTGATGAAATTTGACAAGCTACCATAGAATCCTACAATATTTTGGGACCTCCAAGCTCATCCAGTTCCAATCCCCTCCCACTGGCAGGGACACCTTCCACTAGACCAGGTTGCTCCAAGCTGCATCCAACCTGGCCTTGAACACTGCCAGGGATGGGGCAGCCACAGCTTCTCTGGGCAACCTGTGCCAGGGCCTCACCACCCTCACAGGGAAGAACTTCTTCCTCAGATCTCATCTCAGTCTCCCCTCTGGCAGTTTAAAGCCATTCTCCCTTGTCCTATCACTACATGCCCTTGTCAAAAGGCCCTCCCCAGCTTTCTTGTTGGCCCTATTTTAGGTACTGTGAAGCTGTTCTAAGGTCTCCCTGGAGCTTTCTCTTTAGAATGAACAAGCCCAGCTCTCTCAGCCTGTCTTCATATCAAAAGTGCTCCAGCCCAACACATGAAACTATATTAAGTGGATAAAAAAAAAAAAAGCAAGAAGGAAATAAAAGGTTGACAAAATGTCAAAAAGCCGAACAAACAATTTAAGCTATTCTGCCAAAGCTGCCAACAAAACTGCTGTTTCTCAGCAATGCTAAGTACAGGCATCAGAAGATGAAAATATCAAAACTCAGGAGGACAAGCAATATACATCACAAAGGACTGCATATACTGAGGACACTATAGACCTGCTTTGTCTACTGTTACATGTTACAGTCCTAATGCTGAACAGAAACAGCAAAGAAATCCAGTGAGTGGAGTAAAAGCTCTTGTCACTTCTCATTACTTTAGATCTTGTGGTTCATGTGGGATGACTGCCTGAATTACTTTCAATCTTCAACAAAAAAATAATTAAAAAAATTATGTCTGAAGACTTCTCATAGCTGAGGAGTAAGCATTTGTTCCAATCTTCTTATAAAAAGACAGTAACAAGAAGGATGGAATAAAAGTGTAATAAAATGAACTATCAGACAATATTTCAACCTAAACTGGAATCTACAACATGCCAACAACGATTAAAGTGCCACACAAAAGCCTCAAAAAAAGTTCAAAGCTGAAGGTCAAAGAAGATATTCTGGATGGAAGGAGGAAAAAAAAAAATAAAAAAAATGGGAAAATCAAGAAAAAATTGCCACATACTATTGTGCCTCTTCCTTTAATTTTTCGTCCAGATTTAGAGACTGATGGTTTCGGGTCAGCCAGAACTGGTGTAGTATCAAGAAGCTTCCTACATAAATAAATAAAATATGAGCTTACATGGAAAAAAAACAACAAAAAAATTAACTTGAATTAATTTTAAGTTAATAATGCAAAATATTAATCTTATTTATCTTAAGATGGCAGACCTAAGAATTCAGTGAATTCTCCAGGAAATAAAGCAAGACATGAACAGTTCTGCAATGAAAAGGAAATCAAGATCCTTGTTTTAGATCAAATCTGTAGCCAATCTGACCTCTCCACCTGTAAATAAATGCTAACAGTGAACTTGCAAAGCACTATTGAAGTGGCAAGTGGCTTTTCTAAAGAGGTTAACTGCATTTGGTGCACAAATCATGAAGACGACATGGACAGAAGAGTTTCAGGATCTCAGCAGTTATACAACCATGTCTTAACTCAGAGACTGACAATTCATGATAGGTCACAGGTTCCAAAGCGTTGCTTCTTTCCTGAGCAATAGGAGGTAACTCAGCACTCCTTTTTACAGTTTGTGTAATGTCCTTCAGAGAAGCAGTTACTAAGGCTTTGAAAACATAAATAATGTTTCAAGGCAAAACGTACAGGAGACTACACCATTAACTGAAATGAATCAATTAAAAAAAAAAACAAATCACCAAGCTTATTTTAAGAACTTCTGGCAATGTAACATATTGCTGATTTGAAGAGGTATCTCACAATGTAACTTAATAGCTCATCTGAGTCCAAACACAAAGAAATTTGGCAGAAAAAGAACCAAACTGCAATTTAGTAGAGGTGCAAAACAAAGAAAACTGCAAAAAGGACAATTAAATTACCTCATTTAGAAACTTTAGCCATTGTTTGCTACCAGCACTAGTTACTTGAATGGTAACAGGAAAATTTTTTGCCTAGTTTCCACCAAGAAAACATCATAAAAAAGCTCAATGTTCCTTACGGTTCAGGTTCTATATTGACAACGGGCACATCTCTTCTCAGCAAAAATCTATTTTCAGGCACTGGGGGAATTTCTTCAGGACGTACCACTGGTTTGTCTCTCTTCATGCTAACATCAATTGCTTTTTCTGTTATATCACTCTTGTCAGAAAGGCTGCTAAGGGAATAAACAAGTTGATAAATCAAAATTAACTGTCAACTGATAAACACCCCTTTTCAAAGCAAATTCCAAAAAAAAGCCCATGTGGTGCATCAAGCTTTAAGATGGCTTAACAATCAAAACATGCTTCATTCACAACCCATTTTAAGCTAAAAAGGAAGGATACACAATTACTGGAAGGAAGGTTCAGGTTTTGCTTTACAGAAAAATAATTTTGCTTTGAATTTGCCATTTGTCAAGAAATATTTTAAAATCTAATCAAATATATATCAAATCTATTCCCTAATCTTTCACTTTAACACAGGTATACCGAGTCCCAAATACTTGAACATGCTGAGATTTACTCATTTCAAAATCACTCTAGCTTCCATCTACAAAGATCTTAAACTCTTTCATGGAAAAATCTACTCAACAAGCTTGGCTTTAGGGTTTTTTTGGTTGGTGTTTTTTAATAAAGACCAAGCACCAAACCCCAAACCTAAATAAAACATAAATAATTTTCATATTAATTGCTTCAGTATTTCATGAAAACAAAAGTAGAATTTCTCCGATTTCTCTGAAATTCTTAAATTTAAGAGACTAGTCACCCACCGTCTTTGGTTTGAGGTTCGCCTGCACTTTGGATCCTCTTTCTTCCTCTCTTCCTTTCTTCGTTTTCTTGATTGTTTGGTTTTAGCTCTTCTTTTACGCTTTCTTCTTCTGCTTCTTTCACTTTCAGCTTCACTTTCAGATGAACTTTCTGAAGAGCTTGATGCACTGGAGGAGGAGTCTGAAGCTTCTGACTCCGAACATACTTTCTTCTTCTTCTCCAAAGCTTAAAACAGATATTTTAAATTTACAGTGTGCACATGTCCATGTGTGTGTAGCGTGTATATATAGAGCACAAAATATATCATTTTATATATGTATAAATACACAGAGATACTGTTTCAGAAGAGCTCTTTGAACTTTTTTCACAAGGAGTTAAAGTACAATAATAAAAACTGATTTTGGCCTAGTCTAAAGCCATACCACTAAAAGATACAAATATTTTCCAGCAAAGATAGCTCCTATACAGTAAGCTGTAAGAACTTCCATGCATGAATTCCACCATATAAGGTGACATATCACTGCAAAGCCAAAACTTTTTTACATTAATACACAGTAAGTTTATAAATGAAGTTCGACATTATGATGTGCCAAGCTAATACAAAGAAAATAGTTTTAAGAAGGAGGGTTCCCCCCTTTTCTCTTTTGAAAAAGGTATTTTAAGTTGTAATACTGACTTCACACCTTTAAGTTAGAATACACAGATAAGAAAAGACCATCTGTAGTAAAAAAAAATAATTTCTAGAAAACAATGCATAGGTTACAGAACAAAGTTTAAGAAAGAATTAGTCATAGCCTCAGCTGTTTATTTCTTATTTATAAATCTTTGTCATTCTCTCTGCATGCGATACTTTCTTACTCTATCCTCCTGACTTTTTTTAAAGGACATAAATAACCACATTATCCTTAAGGAAGGCCAAAAATGAAGGGGAAAACACAAACTTTTAACACTCCGCTACATTACAGAGACTGTCCAAACACGTATTTAAAATTATTTATTCCCTAAGAATTCTCATGAAATTATGTTAACTACGTATACTGCGTATTAACATTACATGATCTTACAATTCAAATTCTGGAAACTGCACAAAATTCAACTCCAAGAAGATAGTATGTTGAAACTCTATCTTTCAAACTCAGAAAATCAGATTGTAATTATTTTCTGTGTAAGTCACATTAACCTCAAACATTAAGAACAGGAAGCAGGGATACACTGTCCAACACACAAAGGTTCAGGTCAAAAAAAGCCTTCTCCCTTGCTATGCCTTCCTCTTCTACACCAGTTTTTTTTTAAGTTTTAAATGCTTGTAAGACTTAAGATTCTAGACATTCACCATAATGATTTTTTGATGTTGGCAAAATTTTCATGTTCTCCGAACTCTAATGTTTGGACTCTATGATCTTAAAGGTCTTTTCCAAGCTAAACAAATCTGTAATTCTATGAAAACAATATCAACATTCAATTAACTTCAGATGTATGTATGCTTACCATCTTTTGCTGATTTTGTAACAAGCACCCCACAGTCAATAACTCGTACATCTGCATAGGGCCTACTTGCAGTATCGGTTTTCAGATTTTCTATTTGTTCTATTACCTCAAACCCAGAAATAACCAGTCCAAAGACAACATGTACACTGCAGAAATAAAATGTTTGGAAAGTACATTTATATATTGCTGTAATTATTTTATAATGAATTTCAGATTTAAGAAGCCACTCTGAACTAGAAACACTAAGCTCTTTAAAACGCATTAGAGTAATAAACATCTTGTCTTTAAGTTTCACATTTACAACAATCTAAGATTTTACTGGAACATGAAAAAAGGGTCCACTATGGTTCAATGAGAGAAAAGTTTGATGTCATTCCACTCTCTTTTACATAGGCAGAGTAAATAGATCATTATTTCTAACATATCCTTCTACTTTCGCAGTTTCATGCAACAGGGAGATCATAAATCCATATATAAAGATGACAAAGAACTGCAGTTTTCCCCAGAAAAGAAACATTTATAGGTCTATACAAACTCAGCACACAAATTCCCCACTAGCACTGCAGGGACAGCTATAACTAAGAAATTCCCATTTCTGTCCACATTTCTCTCCACTTCTTCTGTTTGCCCATAACTTATACTCCAAGGATCTAACCTATTCTGGGGATAAAACCACACCACACAAGAGAGTACTATCCAAATACATTAAACTTGACATTTCAACTCACTCATTTATGGATTGAGGGCAGCAACCAGTTTTAAAAAAAAATATTATTAGGGTTTAAGCCCTTCTAAGTTTTTGACCAGCTGTAGGAATTAAGTTGCAACTTGAATTTTTTATAGAACTGAAGTCTTTTTTTTTTCCTTTTTCTTCTATTGTATAGTCTTCCAGATGATTAAGAATTTGTTTCCCCGTTATTGTCTATTTTAACATGTGAAGACTTACAACCTTCAAATTTTAGACATCACTGGAGGAACTATAAAGGATTCTTACCCATCGAGATGAGGAGCAGGTTTTGTTGTTCTGTTTGACAAACAGCAAGATGGTAAGATGGAAGAAAAATAAAAAAAAAAATAATAATCAGGGATTCAGATGAAGTAAAAGAGGAGAATGGAACAGGGGAAAAAAAAAAAGAAGTGAAGGTAAGACAAAAAAATAGTGAAAAAATCCAGTTACACACACAGAATTAAAATATTTTATAGATTATACATACAGGCTTTCTTAAACTTTTACATGAAATTTATTTGAAGCTTAGCTAACTATGCACACTTGAAAGATGTACCAAGCATCATTTTAATGCATGCAATAAACAATTTTGAAATAAACGATTTTGAAATAATAGTCTTTAAATACACATTAAAATATAATTCACTAACATTTTTAGTCACAGAGAAGATGCAATTTGGCATTAAATACTGGGTAACTAATGACTGTTAGGTTCTTACATTACAAGGTCACTATAAAGTCAGTTTATTCAAAAAGAGTTATCACATGTAACAGATACTTTGCTCCCCCCTCCCACTTCTTTCTTACTTTCTACTTCCCTGATTGGCATCATGACCCAGAATGCAAAGCAACACTTTAACCACCAGCTACAGCACTTCATCAGCTCACAGGCTTCCCAAAGGCAACAGCAGCATAATGCAAGCAGACATTATGTGCTGCCCTACAGTTTACTACTGTGGTTAAGTGCAGATTTCCTCCCTATTTTTCAGCTTCCCACCTTCAGCCATTTGTAGCCTGAAGGAACCACCTTCCATTTTGTACACTATCCTAAAAACAAGCCTTTGGAGTTATGCGAGACTTCTGAGTTGACTTCAAATTGGAATATTCAAGGCTGTGCATATATGTTAAGATTCACCCTTTTCATGGTAATGCTATGACCTAGTATTTCTCCAGATCCTTTTCCAAAAAGGAAAGGAAATTACTTTTGCAAGTAAGCCTGCATTAAGGCTGCACAGAGAACCTTGCTATGCAGACACAATCTGTAAAGAACATCAGAGCACTAAAAAAAAAAAAAAAGGAGGGAAGCTAATTTGCATCCAAAGCTATTTTAATATTTGAACACATCCTTCCTCTCTCTTCCCCAGGCACTATTTTGCCTTTCCAGCCTTCTTCCACTGAACTCACCTCTGAAAATATATAATCCATCACAGATACTTTTTTAAATTTACAGTAGCACAGATGTGGTACAATGAAGTCAGTTTTTCGCTGCTAAAATAAAATACTACTTTTAAAGCATGTATCTTCACTCAGGTTTTGAACTATCCAGTCACAAAACACCGCAGTGCTGAACACATGCCAAAAGATGGAACTGTGAATCAGGAGTGTTTACACTCTTGATTTTTATATATATATATATATATATATTTTTTTTTTAAGCCCCAAATGCCAACCAGACCTTCCACTTCTGTAATACTGAATAATACAGAAAACTTTGGTTTTACATGGGGAAATAAACGCTATCAAGACAATGTTTAATTTTGCAATAGTTGGGGGGTGTTCTTTGGTTTTCCCTTGCTAGTATTGCTACAAACAAAAAAAATGTTAACAGCTTTTGAGGTTCTTTAAGCAAGAGTTAACTGCATTAATAACCTCCTGCTAAGCAAACAGTTTAAGCGGGCTTAATTATAAGGCTGATTTAAAGTAGTGAAACAACAGAAGTGGGTTATTTCAGTGAAACCAATAATAAACAAGACTGAGTGCTTAGAATTAGCTAGAAACAGCAGCAGGTTCAAACACACTTGATGCAGAGGCTGTAGTACTGTGCTCCTGCTATGTCAAAGCAGCACTTGAAGACCTTGAGCAAATTACCTGATCATTTACTTTTCTTAGACTAGTCCTTGATAGCAAAGAAAGGGATAGCTGGCACATTAAAACTCATGTAGGGGTTTCTTCCATTGCACTGATAATTTGATAAATTTATTGAATTTCTCTCATTTACTTGTATATGCAGTGAGAACACAAGGAAGAGAATTATCCCAAAAGAAAACTTCAGATGCATGATGAGGAGTTAGGTGACTTTAACAGACTTCCTACGGGAAGAAGAAACCCAACGCCTCACTCTGCTTTTGAAAGTTCTCATTTAAATGTGAAGGTTTTAACATGACATTTATTTTGCAAACATGCACTTTAAATGACCGCTTCACAGTTGTCCACATATGCTCTGCCTTTGACTCTTGAATGTTTACTTTGGCTTCAAAACAATCAGGAGAAAACCTGCTTACTGCCTTTGCACTAGGGAAACCTAGAATCACGATGAGTTCCTCCCCCAAAATAATATTTCAATGAAACATTTCTATACAGAACTTTTGTAAGTTAAAACACTCAAAATCTGCCTTATACTGTTATCCATGTTATTTACAGAATACCTTTCTTCACTCAAGTTTAAAGAAAATTAGCTTAAGATACTGATGAAGAGAAAAGCATCTTTTTGATAACAGCAAGTTATCACCCACCCCCCAAGTACCTCACTCCTAACAAAGGATTCAATGCACATAACAATATGATCAGAAGAAAACAAGAAAGATAAAAACAGAAAGAAGAAAAGGAAAGGACACAGCCTTAGAGGAATGAAACATTACCTTTGGAGCGCACGATGTAACACTGTTTCTGTAAATTTTACACAAAAATGGCAGAAATAAATTGTAATACAATTTCAGACAAAACTGAGTCTATGTTTTATTAAATACAAGTTTACAATTAATATTAATCAAGTTGTATGCAGAACAAGGATGCCTAAAAGAGGGCTCTAAATTTTCTTTAGAATACAAAGTACTTTTAAAACTACAGTAAGTTCTCCTTAAAACCAAAAAGAAACCTGTAGATATAACCTGCTTGCATACACTATTAAAAAATATAAACAGTTAGAAAGGAGAATCCTCCCACTCCCCTCTAAGTCTCAATCCAACAAAAGGGTTAGAACACATGCACAACCTTAAGCATATGAATAACTGATTTCAATGGGTTTATTCATGTGCTTGCAGTTACATAGGTGTTCAAATGCTCTCCTGAATGCAGTCCTAAATATATGCTTCAAAGGATGGCACACCATAGCATAAACGTTTTGATTTACAAGTGAAATGTGTAAAGTCAGCAAGTTTACAACTTCATACATTTCATAATTAGCTGACAACTTCCTTGCATCATGAAGCATTTCTAGAGCTAAGAAAAATAAGTGGTTTCTCTAAAATAGGTTCATCGCTTGGGCTCAGAATTACAGAAGGACAAACACATGGCAGACAGCAGCAGACAAAAATACCATGGAATCATAGAATATGCACCAACTACTACCATACATTTGCTCTGGTATAATTCTGAACAGCAGCAATATTTTAAAAATGCATTATCAGTTGAGCTTATCCATATTGCTCCCCCTGTAAACTATTACTTCTTAATTATATCTCTGCATATTCAAGCATGGAGATTATGTTTTTTTACTGATTAAAAATAAAAGCATCCTGTGAATAATTTCATGTGGGCTGTGCTTTCACATAAACTTTTGATCAAGCCAGTGGAACTTGTTTGTGTGATCAGTGCACATGTACCACTTCTTGCTCAAAGAAACTGCAATGTCAGCACTTTCCATTCAAAATGTTTAGGTTTTCGTATCACTGTCAAATGCTCAAGAATTAGCTCAAAAGCTATTTAATTCTCAGTAAAAAACACCCAAACTGTTGATTAGAAAAATACCTGTTTTGAGACACCAAAGACTGAGCAATGAACCACTTTTAATAAGCTGGTAACATTGAGAAACCATTTGTAAAATCAAAACAGGAAAATCCTGAAAATTTATTTTATCCTTCATTTAGCAGATCAAAGTGGTTAGTTTGTTGAAATTTAGTAACTAGGCATGGCACCACACATTAAAAACATTTTTAAAGCAAAAAAGTCATTTAGTTTTGAGCAAGAAAAGAGCTTGACCCACATTAAACCAACAATACCCTCAATATGGAAATAGAATAAATCTACTAGAAACAGCAAAACGACCTCAAGTTTTAAATAACTTTTGAACACAGAAGCAAGAACTCCAAGCATTTGAGCTGATAAGGAACACAACCTAGGACTGCTCTTTTAAGTTGTAAAAAGGACTTCGTGGCTAAATAACAAAGCAATAAATTAATTATTACACAGAACTTCCCAGGGACAACATAGAGGTAGGTTACTTTTTTTTTCCCCTTCTGTCGTTTTCTTTATGCTTCATTCTGCACAGACATTTCTCTTTATCTGGTAAGTGTAGCTTGACAAATTGTGTATGACCACAGAAGCAAAGTTAAGCCCATGCAAGCATTTCTCGGATCAGGAATCTCATTAATTTTATAGCACTTCATATACCCATTTTCACACTTATTTTGTGTGCTACTTTCCCTACTAGCAGGCTGGTTATGGCCACATGTATGATGGAGTTGCTCTAAATAGATAAGATACCATTATCAAGCTGGAACATCCAAGGACAGCCCAACTATTCCTCCCTGACTTTAACTCAGGGACCTAAAGACATTGGCTGTATTTGTGCAATGATCTAGATGCACTCCCCCAGTAGCTACTACTACTTGCATTTTCAGCAGCAGTTTAAAACAGATATTGGAGTACATGAAAAAAGGAAGACGATTCTAGAGTGGTTCCTGTCAACCTTGAATCCATCCCAGAAATTCTGTATCCGAGTATCAACATGGAAACAGGACAATTAAAAGAAGATGAGCACACTCTAGTGGTGCTTAAAATACTTGCTGAATAACTGGTAGTTCCGGAAGGAGTTATTCACAGAAAAGAATCAAATTAAATAGTGGCACTATTTAAAAATACAAATAGCCAATTTATAACCTGGTACCTTACAACTACCTTAAACACAAGATGCAATTAAATGCTCCAACAGATCCCTTTGGGTAAAGAAAAACCAAAGTTCCAATATTTCACAAGTCTAAACAGCACAAAGGGATACTCTCTGTATCACACTGGATTTAAACAAAGTGCATTTCTTCAGACTAGGAAATGTTTCTTAATCACATGTGTGAATAGACTTGGCCTATTTAAAGTACATGTGCATGACAACCGTAATCCTTCCTTAGCTCAACATTCCCCTTTCAAGCCAATTATTACTCCTACTCAGGTAAGGACAAAAATTATACGTCGGGAAAATTAGTCAACAAACATTACACACACCACTTGGGACATCATATATATATATAGATATATATACACACACACTTCTGACTTTATTCTGCTTTTGCACTTTGCCAGTTTCTACCAGGCTTTTATCTTATGTTCTACCAGGCTTTTATCTTATGAGGCCCCCTTCTTCAGGGGCCTCACTGGAGCTCCCTGACAATACTTACACTGTCTATTCCCATGCCCAGTTCTCTATTGTTGCTTATAAATGCTTCAAGCTCATTCATGCCAGAGAAATTCTTGACGAACCAATGAAAGTTGATGATACTTTAGGACTAGGCAGATGCTTGTTTACTTAAGATTAGTCTGGAGCTTCCATTTCAAGTAAACTGACCACTGTAGCTCAACTTTTTAAACAGTTTTTAGGCACTGCACAGTTTTCTTGTGACCAACTTGTTAGTGCAGCCTGCCAAAGAAATACATTCTGTCCAGTTCCTTTCTCTAAAGACTAGTTACTCCAAATGACATTTTTCTGTGGTAAGCAGGAAAAGCACTTCTGATGATTAAGCAAACCTGTTCTGGTCATAATTCTTCCTATTATTTTAGCCCTACTTGGACAAAAACATAAAAATAACTTATTTGCATTCCTTATCTGCCACATTAGATGTACATGAGAGGGAAAGAGTTCTCATTCCTGAAGTTACCTCTGAAAAAAATGCAGAGGGCTAAAGAAATATCTAACCAGTAAAATTAAACATGTTCAAACTACGAAAAAATAATAATAACAAAAAAATCTAAAGTCTGCCACTGAATACTGCCTTTCACACAATTTTCAGGTTATACATTTGAAGAACATTTTTCCTAATGATAAACTACTTGAATAACTGAGCATTCTTTTGAGTATAAGAAGCACATTCTACATTCTGATTTCAGCTTGAAGTATATCACTAAAGGAAGCAAACATTTAATTAAAGAAAAGCTGTCTATGTGCACAATATATTCCCTAAAGTAACTCAACAAACGTCACCAAGCAAGACTAACTGTTTTATTATATTGCATTTTAGAGTTAAGACAGGAACTGCCTAGATAAAATCTTCAGTACTTGTTTCCTACTTTGAATCTTAAAATCCAAGCTTTCCACATTACAAAGTTGAAACCAAGGGCTGCACTATTAAAAAAATCTGTACAAAAAAACAGATTGTTGAACTATCCAGCCTTGCCTAGTTGTAAACTGGGTTATCAAATGTGAACCTGATTTTGCAACTGACTGTACACACAATATACATGCAGTTGTAAGGGGCTTCAGAGCCTTCTGCGCATATTCTGTAATTGTACGGATTCATTCCTGGGTTCAGCTGCAGTACTGGAGGCTAATGGTGGGGTTCAGCTTAAATGCATAAAGCTGAATACAGTAAAGGCATCCATAAGCAAGGCAGGCATTTCAGCTGGTGGTGAGATCTGGGGAGAACACTCAGTCACTGACATACAGAAATCCTGAGCTGCCCTACTTATCGTGCCTGGGTTCAGCTACTACTCCAGGAGTGCAGGGGGTCTTGTAGGTGCTACATCATATTCGCACTCCCTGTCTTGGAGTCCCCAAAGGTGTCTCAAACAGCATTAGATGCCTGCATGCAGTAAAATGAAAAAAGCCCCAGACAAGAGGATTGCAGAAGTCTAGAGCGTTAGAGGATGCTTTAAAGACTTGACAGCAGCCCACGGAAACCTCATTGGTTATCTGGGAGTTCACTCCTGGGCTTGATTCACTTGCCTGACTCTAGAGCAAGATGGTGCCACTTATGACATTACAGGATCATAGAATGGTTTGTGTTGGAAGGGAACATAAATCTCTTCCAGTTCCAAACCCCCTGCCATGGGCAGGGACACCTTCCACTAGACAAGACTGCTCAAAGCCTTGTCCAACCTGGCCTTGACACTGCTAGGGATGGGGCATCCACAACTTATCTGGGCAACCTGTGCCAGTGCCTCACCACCCTCATAGTGAATATCCAAAGTAATGATATCCAAGAAATCTGCATGGGACAGGCCAATAAGACAATGGCCTTTCTCTCCCAGCCAGTTAGGACATACCAGGACCCTAAAATGCCTTTAGATTTCCTACAGGGAGCTGAGGTGAATCTAGCTTACATGGAGACAATTATGGTCAGGTAACTTACTCTGCCTGAATTTCCACCAAACTAACACTTTATAGAGAATTGGGGGGAGAAGGGGAGCAAAGCAGGGAAAATTGAAGAAATATGCATTAAATCTGATTAAAATACATTAAATCACCATCATTCAAAATAATTGTTTGATGAAAGTGCTCTTAAATAGTTCATTTTATTGTTCCCTGTAAATTACAATTTTAGCATCCTACACAACCTTAGATTGTTTTGATGTATGGAGAGAGACAAGGTGTTTATTAAATCTAATTGAATAAGTAGCTGAGCCTACTGAGCATAAAGGAAATAAGATGACTTCTGAATCGAGTGCAGGAGAGAAAAGAAACTTTAGAGCCCTCAAATGAAAGCTTCTTGACTGATGTGACATCATAAAGTTTCCATCTATATTGTTCAGATAAGCTTAAAAATGGAAAATTATGGCAAGAGAACCAAGAGAGAAGTCACCAAGCAGTAAACAATGAACCAATGTTTTTCAAAGAGCTTATTAAGCCACATTTCCAGATTAATGTGTATACTTATCCACTCAGATTTACTATAAGGTAGCCCAACATCCAAAACTTGTTTTGAAGATGACATAAAACAAGCTTTTGACAAAATTTTACCTCTATGGAAAGTCGGAATGGTGGTAACCGTGAAAGACTTCCTCTTAGGTTCCTATTTATTTTCCATTTTTAGGGCATTCTTTAGGAAGAAACCTAAAAATGTCTCTTATCTGAACTTTACCATATCATACTGAAGATCTTTTTCAAGCAAAGAAAAAAAAAAAAAAAAAGATTCTTGAGGACAATTAACTCCTTTACTGAAGACAGGGAAGCGCCATTCATTCTTATCCCCCAAGAAAGATGGCAAAGAAAAAAATAGGTTTTTCTAGTTAGGTAACTAAACTAAAATTTACTTTTGAAAACAGCAGTGTTATTTCCCAAAGTTGTTCTCAGCACAAGCCCAAAGCTATAATTCAGCTCTTTTAGCTGTTAAAGATTAACAGAAGGCAATTTTTACAAGGGATTTACCAGGAGGAATGATCATGTAAAAATACATGCAAGCTTAAAAATACTAATACTGAATCTAGAATACAACTAACTATTGTAACCAGAAGACCCTGACATATCAGACCTGAGTATTTATTGATGGTAGAGTCTCATGTATTTTCTACAATTTAACAAAATACGGCTATATACTGGAATGGATTATTTAATTTTTTTTTAAGGTAATGGAGGAAAAATCTTATTATGAACACATAATTTTATATAGTGTTGGTACCAACACAGTTGGCATATGCACAAGTAAACAGAACTGGGTAGCAACATAGAAGAAAAGCATGTCAGGAACAAATACTCCAAAATTAAACAAAAAAAAAAAACACCCCAGAAATGGAACAAACAAAAATACCAACCCCACAAACAAACAAAACCACCCACAAAACAATAAATAAAACCCTACTCATCCTCCCCCCAAAAAGAAGAGACAACAAAACTCCCAAACTAAATCATAAACTATCATATTTTAATAACTATGTGCAAATCCATACAAACCACCTCTAGATCTTGCTCCCTCCTGCATACAATACTCAACATTGTAATTTGCAGATAACCTGTTAAGATTTGGTTGGTGCATATACAAAGCCAAAGAATGTATTTAATGGACATAAGAACTTACTACCCTAGCTGCATTTTTAGGGTAAAAAGCAATGAACAAGGAACACCCATGTAGTACCAGCTTCTAATCCAAATATGTATCACAAGAAAGTTGTAACTAATGTTTCCTATTATAGCTTACACTGCAGGTACCCACTCAACCCTAGTTAAAGTAAGGCAAATGACATTGTTATAGGTAATTTAGCAATACCATCTTTCTCATGAATAGCGCTTCTCTGTTTAAGAAAAGCTCAACTGTCATATTACATCTACTCACATGAAAAATTGGGAACCATTGGTATGTTTCCCTCGGTTTGCCATTGACAAAAGGAACGCTCTGTCATGTTTGAGAATAAAGTTTTCATCTGTTTGAAGAAAAAATATGTTTGTCAGATTTTCCCTGACAAGGAACATTAGGCTAAGTTTCTTAGTAACTTATGGATGCTACAAGGAGAAATTCTGCTGCTGCTGCTAAAGAAACATGAATAAGTTGAAGAAAAACAAAAATAAAGCTTTAATAAGCACCTCAAAGTTACAGTAGAAGCAGTTATGAGACAGAAAATGTTCTTTCTTAAAGAAAAAGCTTTAGATACAGTGCAAACATTTCTAATGAAAAAACATTTAAAGTCATCAGTACTGTCTTCAATAAACAGTAGACTCCCATAGACTTGGATTTAAATCCAGCATTTTCTGAATAAGAACACTGTTGGCAAATTGACTGAAATCCTAAACCAAGACTAAACATACATGATACTGTTATTTACACAGTATGCACCTCAGGAAGAAAGATCAGGAGAACAAACCATTTCCCCAGTGTGTATCGTTATGAGATAGCCACCTATCCACTCCAAACTGGAAGTCTCAAAATGTCCAAGGGAGAAAAAAATAAATACCTGAATAAGAAACTAAAGAACAAACTGTTCCTGCAACCTAAGTATAAAATCAATTAAGACTAAACTAAACATGTATTTTGCATTCCAGTAAATTAAAGAGGACTTCTGGTTGCACAGCATAATATAAACCCAGATCTTCTGAAGCTCATTTTCAAAGCTAAAAATAGTAATTTGAGTGTACAAAGCCGTTACTTGCAAGATTACACATCATGGTCCTGCATGTTCAGCACTCACCCCCTTTAGAAACTAACCCTACTAACTTTTTAGCAAATGGATCTGTTCAAGACTTTCTTTTGACTAAAGGTTGTAATACTCCAAAACCAAATGATGTCCCTGTAAGACAAACTTAATGGCATGCACTTAACCACGCAGAGCTACTTGAAAAACATACAGAATCCGGGGCTGTTACCCAAATACATGTAATGCTTTTTTTAATGCTTAAATACAACATTAACTACCCATTGGTTTGGGTTGGTTTTTTTTCCAGTAAAGAATTTTATGTCTTTGAATATGTTATAAATTCACCATTTTTCTTCCAACAACAGATTTTGAAAAGAAGTAAATGCACATTTATTTACAAATTCTTTGCAAGTAAAGTAACTTATTTAGCATATAAACAAAGTAAAACTACTTTCAGAAACAAACACCAAGCATACAAACCTTGAATAGGGAAGGGGAGGAAAGGGACATTAACAAAACAAGAAATAATTGTTTAGAGATGGAAATTATGCCAGTATTCTTTTTCAGAATAAGCTACTAACCCTCAGAAAGGTCAGACACAGAACACTTCATTTTTCCAAGCAACAGATATCCATCTACAAACGGACGTATCACTTGGCTATATATTTACTAGGGAGGGTACAAGGGAACAGAGTTTGAATTTGTGTTACTGAGCTTTTGTCTCTTACCTTTTCATTTTGCAAAAGACCACAATCTCTATAAACAAAAGAATATGTTGACAGTTTTAGGCAGGAAGATAGGAGTTTATTCATGAATAAAGTTGCCTAACCTCCATGCTGAAAGTCATGTTTAACAAATAATGTTAGCCTTAATTGTCAGTTAAAGTTAAGTATTACCAAAAAAATTATCTGAAAGTCATGCATATAAAAAGGATTCTCATGCAACATTAGTTTCATGCAAAAAGTGATCTATAAGTATACCTGTCTGCATTAAATACCTTCAGAATCAAGATTTGTTTATCTCAGAACTAAATAAAGAATCTGCAAAGATGTATTTCCTCTTACCTTTGAAATAGCCACCATAAATAGATTCACCTCCTTTTCCATTACCTGTGCATTAAAAAGCATGAATTAAACCTTTTGTTTTGTTTATGAAAAAAAAGTCATACGTAACATTCCACCAGTTTACTGCAAACCAGTACACTCTGGCCAGTTACTAGAATTACTCCTCAACTCAGTCACAGCCACGCATTGTCCTGTTGACACTCGAAATACTGAGAATGAAGATAGCCTTAGTACCTCTGAACACTGGGCTCTAAAGGCCAGTTCTCCAGTCCTCACTGGTATTTGCTAAAGCAACAGCATCCAGCAAAACAACAGCAAGGAGGAAATAATAAAAAATAAAAATGAAACAGACAACAGTAGGTATGAGCAACAATCTTGCCTGGCCCAAAGCCGTTGAAAGGCCACTAGAATGGAAGGGCTAAGAACATAACTAGCAGTTTTAAATGCTCTTCTACTTGACTCTCAAAGCAAGATACTCCTTCACCACACACATTTTATCAGGCAAAAGATTTCAGTAAGTGAAGGAGAAAGACATTTTGGTAAGGACAGGTATTTCAGGGAAGGACAAAATGCTAAAACATTCTGTTGTACACTGCTGTACTGTTGTACATGCTGCAGGGAAGAAAGCAAAGAAACTCCTAGATAATATCCTTTTAGAGATTTTTTTCATTAAACACTTCTAACTTATCTACTATTTTATTTCTAAACTTATTCAAACAGTTATGTCCCAGTATTAATAGGGCATGATTCGTGCCACCTCTACTGCAGGCACGAAAGTGAAAAGCAGTTAAAACTACAGTTTGGACTTGAACTGTTTTAATAATGTAAGTGTTACCAGCCCCTAAACTAAAGGGTTTTTCCTTCTTTAACTTAATACATTTTTCTAAACAAATATTACTTCAAATGAAACATAATTTCAAAAATTGACAAAGAAGTGCTATAATTCACAGCAAATTAAATATTTTTATGGCACTGTAATAATTCCACAGCACTTTCTAAAGTTACATTATAATCACGTAAGTCATAACAAAGTTCCATTTATAGCATTTCAGTTTTAAACATGTATTTTACCTTCGCTGAAGTCCCCACCCTGGATCATGAAGTTTTTAACCACACGATGGAAGGTAGTGCCTTTGTAACACAGCTTCTTTCCAGTTGTTTTGCCAATTCCTTTTTCACCTGCAAGAGGGTTAAATAAAAAGAATCTACAGACTGTCACAAAATAAATTGTAAGGGTTTTCCCTCCCTACTGCTGATGTATATAAGAGCCATCAGAATCGTAGAACTATATAAGACACCACACCTCTACCTGTTGCCTTTTCAACATTCATTAATAGCAGACAGGACCTCTTTACAAGGGGACTCAAGTGAAAATTAGGTTATTTCTTAAAAAAAAAAATTCTAGCCCCTCCCAAGGAAGAGTGTATTTATTAGCAAACCACTTGTGACAATTTATAGAAAATAAAAGTTCATTATAATGATGGGTTAATTACTTTCTGTGGTTATGGCTATACTGTGATGCTAGCTGAAGCTTACACCCGACTCCTTTTCAAACCGTTATATATCTGGATTTGGCACCTGAATCCTTGGACAGAAATTTGAGGTCAGAACAGGCTTCAAATCAGCTTCAATACAGTCCAGTCATGGAAAAATGGGACTGAGCTACTCCAAGCATGCTTCAGATCTTTACCAGTTCATGAACAGTGTTGGGCCACCCACTAATGCCAATTTACCCAGCACTGACCCTCACCATCTCAGTATGAAAATTGAGACTTTCATTTCTGAAAAGAGTGACAGAACAGGGGAACAGAATTGTTTATACAAGATCAGTTCCAGGGTGAACTGAATGTTAATTGTAACGGGGATTGGAGAGGAGGGCAACAACCGAAAACCAAAAAATTCCTCAAATCCTGTACTGTTACCGGGGTCACTCTTATGCAGCAGCAGAAGGCACACCAGGCCATAGTAACCTGTTAATTCTTTCTGAGCCTTGTATTTTTTAAGGAATGACAGCCAGTGGACTCCTGCTGCAGCTGTAGCTCAAGCCTAGTGGTGATTTTTGAGAAAGTTTCATTAACAGTTCTTCCAAAATTCAGGAGAAAAACTTCACTGGGCATGTGGATGAGGGTACTGCGACTGGCAGGGCAGAGGTCCTGCTAGTAGGTTCATGAGGGATTTATACTGACCCAGTCAAGGAACAAACAAGAGACACTGACTTCAGATTCCAGAAAGTGGAGAGCTGGCAGAACACTGTGATTAAGGGCATTAGGTATATTATACCCCATACAACAGCTAAAATCCCATGTAAACCATAGTTCAGGAGATAGTCTGTAATGAGAAAGGACAAATAACCTAATTTTCTGTTTCATCCCACCACTAATTATGAAAAAGACATTTGACACTCTATCAGAGGACATTTAACCTGTATGTTCTGTACCATGTAGTTCACTCAGAAATGTTCCTGTACTTGTTACCTAGAACCAACACTCTCCTTTTGCAATCTCTTGCTCCTCCACACAAAATTAACTCCTGGCCAAATCACACCGAATTTGCCATTCTAAATAGCCAACTGCTGCCAGGATGAGGGCAAAGAGAGTGACACAAAACCCACTCACGGCATTGTACTTGTAGAACCCTCTTCTTGGAGAATATAATGTATTTTCCATTACCCTGACTCTCCATACCCATGGCTCTCACCAGTTATCTTCATTTGATATTATGAGAAAGGAAGCTCCTGACAAAGTGCCAAAGAGCAGATGGGCTTGGGCCTGTGCTTGTTCAATAGGTGGACTGACGGAAGGACCTGAAAATGACAGTTTGCAAGCCCAGATGTTTTAATTTAAATGCAAGGAGCCTCTCACTGTCAAGGCAGACAGCATTTTTTCACAGGAGCCAGGTCTATTTCTGACAACGTCAGGCTGCAGGAAGGCTGCCCGAATCACCCCATCCTCCATCTGTCTCCGACAAAAACATCCTGGCTTGCTTCACATAGATTATGGAGGGAGCAGCAGGCAGGATGATGGGCACAGCATTTTAAATACTGGTCTTTCTCTCATGCCATATCCCTCTACCTTGAGACAAATGAAACCACCATTTGTGTGGTTTCACAAAATGCATGCCCACCACACAATGGATGGACACAGCTCAAGTTGCTACAAGGTCCATATCTCAAGAGTAGACCTCCTAACTTTGCTTACTTTACAATATTCTTCCAATTAAAGACAAGCTGCAACTGAAGACATCAATGAAACTTGTACAGCCAGCTGCAGAAGAGAACTGAAACAGGGATCCAGTACAAAGAACTCAGACTTTTTTGCTTTAAAAACTTGTTCTGCCTGTTTGTTTTGTTCCTCATTATCTCCAACACCTTTCCCTTCCTTTACCTCCACCTAACATTATTCTAGCAAAGTTGCTGTCAGGATTTAAACAATTCTTTGGAGCTACAGAACATGAGGCTCAGACATTATGCTATCCAGTCTAATACTGCATTTAATTTTTTATCTTTTGTACTCTATTCTGAATAAGATAAACTTCAAATGAGCTCCCATTTTTGTATGAGAGCTGTACCATTCTTGCCCATTTTTAGTCTATCTCTAGGTATCTCTAAGAGGAAAAAAAATAATCTGAGAGTAGAATAAAAAGAGGAAGCACCACAGAAAGACCTCAAAAAAATGAGGTACATACTGCACCTTCCACAGTTCATAGTGTTATGAAGCTATTCTGAATCTTCAGAGATTATCTAGAACACATCACATTCTGGGATTTGAGCTCTGACAAGATTAGCTTTAAGAAGTTAATACATAAGGATATCAACAAATTTATTTCACATAACCAGATAGCTAAAAGCTGCTGCTCACTAGAGCCAGATGTTAAAATGCTGCCTGGAAAGTCTTGCTGGAGTCTTTGAAGGAATTGGAAAAGAGTTACTTCATGTTAAAAGGGAGAGGCTTCACTGGTATAGTTAGTTCAAGATATATTGTAAATCACTGAGCACCCAGTTATAAAAGACCAGGAGAGCACCAACAGACACTTATGCGAAGAATGTATTTTGAAACACACACCAATTCCTGTAATAATCCAATCAAGATTAATCTGCAGTTTACAGCTGAAAAATCTCTGAGGAACAGCGCAGACCAAAAAACCCCACCAAATCCTTGCTAATAGTACTCTTTTTGAAAAAGCTAAGTCCTGCTTAATTTAAAAAAAAAACAAAAAACCAAAACTCAAAACAAAACAAAAACCAAAACCCCCAAAAACCAAAACCACCCTTAAAAAATGGACTGGAAGGTGCTACATTATACCCAGACATTCTTTTTTAAGTGCTGCACCTTTGATTTCACAGATCTCCAACCAAACAATGCCAGTATTTCTATGGGGCCATCATATTCCCTTTTAGTCCTTCATTAGCTAAAAATGAAGAAGTTTTCTCAGATTTAAAAGATGGTTCTTTCCTCTGATCTCTGCAGCACTTCTATGAACCTGAAATATACTCAAAGTTTTATTATAGATAAGTAACATTTTATATAAGAAAAAGTTTCAATATATTCAGCTTTATGTAGTGTCCCAAGTCAAACATCACTATCATACTGTGCAGTGACATTAATATTAAATATGTCTCCTGACAAATCCTAGCACCCTGATAATCCTACATTTGTGTAACTTCAGTGACCTCTTGTTAGTCTCAGCCTTGTCAATCACTTCTACCTAAAGGAGTCCCACATTAGGGACCAGAAGTTTTTGTTCCATAAATTCAGTTAGCATTCTCTAATCATGTATTATTGCCACTATCCTAACTCAGACAGTTACAGAATACCACACTATTTCCTGCTATGCATTATTCAAACATTCTTCAGGTCTAACAAGTCTCAGCTTTGTTTTCCCCAGGAAAACAAAGATCAGCACTATTATTATGCTGTGGATTATACTTGCATAACAAATAATAATTCTAAGAAATAGAAATCTTAAATATGAGCATGCTACTTACCCGAGCACAAGCAAAGGAAGTTTTTACAAGTCTTCGGACATATGTCTGAGAAGAGTTGAAACATAATTCGACCAACTAAAAGGTTAAAAAAAAAAAATTAAGAGTTTTATAACTTATAATAAAACTTCACATAAATAAGCATATTTTGAAAAAAAAATTTTCCCATAAATTTTTTTATCAATTTTTTATTATTTTTATCAATACATTTATTTTATCAACCAGAAAACATCTCAAATATGCATACATTAAAACAAGCAGCAGGAAAGAACAACACCATAACAAAAAAATGAAGACTGATATCATTACATCTAATTTTATTTAAAATCCTAATTATTCCATTTTGATTTGAAAGACAAACTTACTTATTAAAATTTTTTATCCTGCCGATTCCTGTTTTGAAAACATGTGCCATAAATACAGGTCCTCAGAGAGCTGGAGTAATTCCCCTGCTCCCGTGTACTATATTTATACAAGTAAATTAATAGTAACATTATCACAGCTTCCTCTGTGGCAGTTACCTAAAAAGCCCAACTGACTTAGTCCCATACTGTGTTAAGGACTAGAGATACATCAGCACTCTTCTCCCAAAATCGTCTAGTTTAACAACAAACGAACAAAAAAGATGAACCAAAATACAAAAGGCAGGCAAAACGCCAACAACAATTTTAGCATTTACATTCCACTTGCCAGGTACTATGAGCCACATACTACCTTCTGCCTATGCAAAGTGGGCAGACTAATTCTCTCAGTCCAGCTACCCCCATGCTACTGGTGGTAGTTATGCTACGTACCTTCCAAGACAATTAAGTACTGCTGAAGAGTGCTTTCATATATACTGGGTTAGAACTGATTCACATTTTCTTTTATATTCCAAGATACTGGGGTGTATGTTGCTAAAGAAAAATACCCACAAAACCCACATGAAAGCTTCAAAAAATATACAATTAGCAAATAGGAAGCTGCTAAATAAGTCATAAATAAGCCACACTGTCAACCAGCATTACAAGGAGACCAGAAATAATCTGTTAATGAGCACTACACTCTAGTGGCGTGCACTGGTAAGACTTCAAAGATTTTTTTATTTTCCTTCTGTCCTGGGTTCAGCAGTAGCAGTCATTTTTCTCCTTCTTAGTAGCTGGTGCAGTGCTGTGTTTTTGACTTTCAGCCTGGGAACAACGCTGATAACACCGATGGTTTTAGTTGCTGCTAAGTAATGTTTACTCTTACGAAGGACTTTTTCAGTCTCATGCTCTGCCAGGGAGGAGGGGAAGCCAGGAGGAAGCAGAGACAGGACACCTGACCCAAACTAGCCAAAGGGGTATCCCATACCACAGCATGTCATGCCCAGCATATAAACTGGTGGGAGCTACCCAGAAGGGCTAGATCACTGCTTGGTAGGGCTGGGTGAGCAGCTGTATTCTCTCCCTTTGTTATTTCCGTTATCATTATTATGGCAGCAGTGATTTGTATTATACCTTAGTTACTGGACTGTTCTGATATCAACCCCCAGGAGTTACATTCTATCGATTCTCCTCCCCATCCCTTCTGGAGCAGGGGGAGGAAGAGGGGGGGCAGTGAGCAAGCGGCTGTGTGGTTCTGAATTACTGGCTGGGCTTAAACCACGATGCCTTCCACACCCAAAAAAAAAAGAAGTTCAAATGCCTTTTATTCAATATTTTGTCATTAAGAAAAATTCTGAGAAGCTCCTAAGAAATTGCATTCAATTTTAAGCCTTTGTCCAAACATACGTAATTGCCAACAAGGTGAACTGTTGGTTAAAAAGGGGGAGAAACAAAATAATACCACCTGTATTTTGTAGTCTTGGATATAAATTCAAGATGCCTTCAGCTGATGAAATGTCTGCATTTCATAGGATTATAAAACAGTTTGGGTTGGAAGGGACCTTAAAGCTCATCCAGTTCCAACCCCCTGCCACAGGCAGGGACACCTTCCACTAGACCAGGTTGCTGCAAGCCACATCGAACCTGACCTTGAACACTGCCAGGGATAGGGCAGCCACAGCTTCTCTGGGCAACCTGTGCCAGGGCCTCACCACCCTCACAGGGAAGAACTTCCTAGTATCCAATCTAAATTTACCCTCTTTCAGCTTAAGGCCATTCCCCCTTGTCGTCTCACTACATGTACTTGTAAGAAGTCCACTAACTACAGTAAGAAGGTTCTCTGAATTTTCTCATTACAGTAGGAAAATCTAAAGAAAATGGTGAGGAACGGTCTCCAAAGAATGAAGAAACTGCAAATATTCAAAGACCTCACATTAAACAGTGGTAGCTGTAACAACCAGTATGAAAAAGCAGCTATTCTCAAGTGAAGAAATAATGATAACCTATGCAGATTGAAGACTCATGCAGAGAACACAATGGAGTAGACAGTTTAGTAAGAGTTATCAATTTTCACTAAAAGCACAGTCATTCAGAAGAACAGAAGGCCCATTCCCCCTCTTGCAAAAGCGCTGAACAGTGACTAAATACTTTAAAAAGCCACATATACATTTTCTCTTGCATTCACTGTGTGAAATAATATATGCACTTTGCAAAGAAAAGGTCATCACTATCCCCATTATACCAAGAGTAGAGAAATAGAGACGAGCTGCCCTCAGACATAAACTGCAGAAGCCTCTGGCTTGCAAGTTCCTGTCCTACATACAAACCCCACCATATCTAGCACGTGAAGCAGCAAACACCACCACTTCTGTTTTCTGGTTGAAGAATGTCATTTGAAGCTCTTGAAGATGCTAAGGCAGAAGGTGGGAAAAAACATTCATAACTAAGGTGTCATGATTTCAACAGCATCTTAAGCTCATGCTTTGTCAATAATAGCATCTGGTAGCTTCTCCTGCCTTTCAACTCCAACAAACTGCTTGTAATGCACATATCCACAACCAAAAGACTAAAACCAGTTTAAAAGACAAGGACCTCCATATAACCTAAAGTACTGCTTACCCAGTTTACCTGGCTATATAAAATAGTGCCATGTGCTTACAAGACACAAACCACATACTGTGTGTCCATCTGCTGCGTTGCTACCTGTATGTTACCTAAGCTGCATCAATACCATTATCACTGAAAGCTTTTCCACTGACAGTCAATTAAATGTGCCAGAGAAAGATCAAACACATTTTCACACCTTGATCTGACAAATACATATGAAACAGCAGCTGTTAATTAAAAAAAAAAAATCTGCATAAAAGTTATGCTTAGAACTTACAAATCTTTCTCATCTCTCAAACAAAAAAATAACAGGAAACATCTAATTTTAAACTTGGAGCTGAGGTAGGTGCTGACATAACACAGATAAAGCATTTGAGATGCTATTCATTTTCTCAGATTTAGACACCTCTTATCTCAAATGATCCACCTACACTGTATAGAGGAAATTAACAAAAGATTAAGTTATCCCATTAGGGAACAAACTTTCCAGGACTAACAACAAGACAACAAGCAAACAAACAAATTGCTAAGAAGAGGTATTCAAGTAGGTGAAGTTTGCTTACAACCTACCCTGACTCTTCGGTTGGTCTTGGCCAAGAGATGAACCTGCAGAGATGCCTCACTATAAATTAAAACTAAAAAATTAGGATTATATTTTTAACAATGAAACTCTCATCTAACATGAGATGTAAATGTTCCAGTACCACAAGAAAGTTACACAAACTCTTAAATCTTGATTTTAACACATCAACAGGCAGGACATTTATGTAATTTTAGTGTATTCTCAATAGAAGACTGAATCTCACCACCTCACAGCTATGATGATGTGCTTGCCTATAGTACAGTGTAGATTTTAAAGTACGTTACTGTACTTCTTGAGATAGCCAACACCATAGGAATTTATCCAGTCATAACGTAACATCTGCCTATTATTTATAAGACAATACTTTGATAAAACATTCTTATTTGTTAGAAAACTTTTGACTTTTTAAACAATATTTTTGATAGAAATTAAAGTGATGAAAGAGTATTTACCTTACTGGTAACTACATACAGTAAGTGATGTATATATAAAGTCAAAGATGTTTTCAAGTTTGGTTTCACAAAGTGCTGTACACAGCTAATAAGCTTATAGAAACCTGAAAGCATTACAATCAGAAATAATCCAGTTCCAGGACTATTTTCAAATCAAAAGATGAGAGGTTTTTTTCTTGTGTTTTTGAACACATGATCAATTTTTCAGCTGAGGAAGAACTAGTACTTGATTCAAATTAAGTGGTAAAAATTAAGGGTAGGAATGTCCATGCTATATTGTGCTGAGGGCTTCTGCTGGCAAAGTCTAATAAAATCAGTGAATTAAAATGTTTATTCAGTGATTTCCTCCAGTTTAGCTGCTCAACTTTTCTGAAACAACCTCAGGAGCCATGTAGTACAAACTGTTTTGCTAGATGTTATGTTTAGACCATAAAGGTGTCAATTTCAGACAGACATTCCCAAAATAAATCTAGCTATTCAAAAATATATTGGGTTTGACTTTTCCCAGTTTCCCAGAGCAAGCCAAGTACACAGTCACTGAAGCATTTTTTTTTCAGTATATCAACAGGAATATCCTGCTGAAGAGGAAAGCAGGGATTACAACCATTAAAACAGCAACGCACATCCCCTACAGGCTGACTCCAGGATGCCTGTCAGAGGCCAAAAAGCTTAGACAGATCTGCCTGAAAGTTTAAATAACAGCTCACTAAAAAGAATGTATTTTAACGTTATTGATATATTTATCCCTAAATTTGTCAGCACTAAGTCATATAAACTTTAAAAGACTGCGTCAAAGTAGAAATGTAGCTACAGTTTTCAGAAAAATACAAACTTACTGTGGAAAAGGAACAGATTGTAAACACCAGGTAAAACAATGGATGTCACAGTTGCCCTGAGCAGGCATCTATGCCTTGACACATTAATACTTGGTTAATGCTTCCTTACCCCACTTTACACTCTTTTCAAGGAAAGCCTCCATAAACTTACTTCCCCAGCTCTCTACTAAGCCCAGTCTTCCATAAGTACTACCTGAAGCTCCTCCATTACAGAACTCTGTGGTCTCCACTAAAGCAAACATATTTCAGTACTGCATACAACAAAAATTTACTATCTTACTATATTTCACAGAGATATGCAAGTGAAAGACTGCACTTTTTCTTCTCCTAGCAAAAGAGGCTCATCAGTTAGATCTTCCACTTACTAATCCAATTTGTTCTACACTTCAAAGTAAGTCTTCAGGGTATTTCATTCTGCACTGACAACAATTTTATATGATGACTGGATTACAGTTTTTATTAAACCAGTTCCCTCCGAATCTACACCTTAGCTCCCTTATAGGCCCTGACAGGGGTACCCCATACAGAGTGCCCCATTGGCTCCTGCTGTACTACACCTAACTGGATTGACAACTGTTTCATGGACAAAGTGCTGATCTGTTTTCTGCCAATATACAACTTTTTGCCTTCAAAGGCCTGAAGGTTAATGAGAAGCCAGTTAAGAACAGTTTCTGTCTCCAGGAAGGGTAACAAAATCCCCATAAAGCATCCCTGGTTCTATTAATGCAAGCACAGTACTACAACTTTTGCAGTGGAGCTTATTTCACATAAATTCATAGCAGCAGCAGCTGAAATTCCAAAATATACCAGACTTTTGCCTGAATTGACTAGAAGGAGAGAAGTAATAGAACAGCAGATTGACTGATAAGGGAAGGGGCATACCAAAGGAAGGAAACTGAAACAGAATGAAAAAGTGAGGAAAGGGTTAAACAATAACAAAGGACAGCGGGAGGGGAGGTAATAAACCAAGATGAAAAGGAAAATTCTTCCAAGAATAAGAATGAAAAAAGCAAAAATGAATAAATAATATATTTCATGATGTATAAATCTAGCTGGGGAAGGGTGGGAGGGGAAATGTGTGAAAAAAAAAGAATCTTGGATGGCCACAAGAAATGCTACAGCAGCAGACTCAGACTATGTATGCGATATCCTAGTCAGGCATCTGTTCTAATTATCACAGTATCTGAAAGACTGAAGCTCCACACAGATTTTTGCATCAGAGATTAGAGATAGAATTATTTAAATTGGCATCTGCTGCCATCCCAAGATTCTTGGAATACTGTAAGGTAGTTTACTCCTATGTGCACCCTGTATGCAGCCACATCCATTGGTATGGGGGCCCAAGAGGAGGGAGAGGTGCTGTTGGTGTTAGTATCAAGATAAACACTTATTTCTGATTTATTCTCCCTTTGCTCTTCAAAAGCTATGAACCATAATGTGCATTCATAAAAAATGCTTAACAGGCAACTTATTAAAAACAGCCTAAATTTAGACTTAAAAACACAGACGCAAAGCCTTCAAAATTTGCCCCACTGTTGGGGGAACATTTTTGGACACCCAACTACGCTGTTAAACATAACATGGTTGTGTGTTCTGCAGGTGAAGAGATGTCTCCAATATGTTAAGAGGCATGTTTGCTTATTCTCTGAATTTTGTGGGGAGATATTAGTTCAGCTGTTCAGTGTAGACAGGGTGGGGGGTATGTCTTATCTCTTGGCTAGCGACAAGATGTAGGACTGATCTTTTGCCCAGTTCTTTCTCCCTACATCTAATAAAAATGAGCCAGCAGATCAGCTTATTGTATTAAAGTCAAATAAACAAAGCCTTAACTTCAAAATCTGCTGGCAGTTTAAAAGTTAAAATGAATACCTCACTAGTATCAGCAGGGAGAGTACATCTCACAGTTAGTGCTTCATGTCATCTGGAAGCACTGCTTTATCATTCCCACTTGATTCAGCTTTTGAAGGTCATCTTACAGCTAGAAGAGCAATGTTTAAGCTTTTTAAATATAACCTTAAATCCTGAGGCATAGTTGCATAGTGAATTCATAAACAGACACCAGAATAAAGTAGCATAACCAGATTACACCTAAGTCCCATACCAATATTTTACAAATTGGCACATTTTCCTGCAAAAATACAAGCCATTAGTCAGGTGCAATGAAACCAGCACGGCTCTGAATTTGATATACACTTTTGAGATCCCTGTTACTTTAAAGGGACAATAAACACTGACAGCCACAAATACAGCCAAAGCCCTCTGTCTACTTCAGGTAACCAAAGCTCTGCACCACCAAGAACACTAACACTGCAATTCCTCTCTGACACCGCTATCAGTCATCAAACCCAAACAGATGTGAGGAAAAACAAGGTAATGTGCTTTCACTCATGATGCACAGCAGAAGGCTGAGGAGACAAGGCAGTCAACAAGGGATATAATGAAAGAGCAGGAACACATACATAAACAGCAGAAGAGTACAGTACAGGGAGAGATTCTTCAGATGGAGAGTCAAAACAAAAAACCCCTAACAATGATTACAAGCAAATGAGATGAATAATGAGTTGTCTTTGCTATAAAGCAATGCCATTAAACTATCATTCCTAAACTGGAAACCTACCCAACGTAAAACCTTTTTAGTAGTCTTATTCATAGTAAAACTAAATTTAAAGACATAGAAAATGTTAAAAGTCCATTTACATTAACTTTTTTCTCCTCAATAAAAGTATTCAGAAAAGGCACATTTAAATAACTCAAACAGGAGTGACACCAGCAACAGATTTATAGATATGCACTATCTGAAGGCTGAATTCAGAATTCACTGAAGCTTGAATTGAATCTGTCTTTTGAAATGAAAAAGCAAGTTAAATGGGTTACAGTTATATTTGAAAGCAACTGAAATTTGAAGTGCAAAGATACAAACTTATTTCAAAGGCTTTCAGAGAAACACTGAAGCAAAAACTGAAAGTGAAAGCATAATGAAGCCATCACATTCCTTAATTTTTCTGAGAGATAGACAGCAGCAATATAAAGCATTTTATGCGAGGCAACTCGGATGCATTAACAAATTCATGTTCAAAGCCATGGGTAAATAAATCTCCACAACCATTTTTACAGAGGGCGGAAAACAGAAGAGGGAATCAAGTACCTATTCCGGGATTAAAACTCACAGTCTGCCCCTAACAGGCAGATTACACTTCCCATAGGGAAAATATGAGTTAAGAGATGGATTTGTTTTAATTATGTTTCTTTTTTGAAGCGGCCACCTGATGAGACATTCTCTGCTTCTACAATCCCATGGTCAATTCCTTATTTACACTCACAAGACTCATTTTAAGCAGGAGGAGGAAAGATTTTTTGCCAGCTGACCTCCTGAGGTCCCTTTCCGATTTTAATTACCATATGATTAAAATTACTTCTCCGAGTACCTTTCCAGTTTCCTCACGACTTGCCCCAGTTTTCCGTAGTTTACAGAACTGTAAAGGTACAATAAACAACCAGGCAGCACTTCTAATAAAGGATGCTCCTTATCTTGAAAATGGTGTTAGCCTCACAGAGCCTCTCACGTATGAGACTAAAAATGTGTCTTAAGAGAATAAAAAAACATCCAACACACTGGTAAACATCAAAAGTTACTAAAACTAACTCAGAAATAAGATCAATGGGCAAACTCATTGATAACGGCTCGAGTGCATTAGGGAGGCAAAAATGTGGTAAAACCCATCCCAAACACGACACTTCAGACAAGACTCGTGCCAGAGACACTGGCCTTACCTGGCTCCCGGTTGATCTCTATCTCGAAGAAGCACTGAGGCCGGTCCTGCACCCCCATGGCCGCGGGCAGCCCTGCAGCCCCTCGGCCTCGCCACCTGGACACAAAGAGGAGCCGCGCTGGGAGCCAAGCCCGCCCCGCCGAGGGGTAGCATTACACGGCCGCAGCGCTGCCAGAAACTCCGGGAGACACCTTCCCCTCCCACTCCCCCTTCAGCCGCCGGCAGCGGGGCCGCCGGAGAGCGAGGGCAGGCGGCAGGGCACCGGGAGGAGGCCGGCGGGGGGAAACCACGCCGAGGGGAATTTCCTCCTCTCACAAACATGGGGGAGGTGAACAGGGAGAGGGGGGCACAGCCCCGTTCAGCGCTGCCTGCCCTACCTATCTCCTCCCCCGGGAAGGGGTGCGGCGGCCGCGGCCTTACCTGGCAGCTCCGGCGCTTTGTTCGCTCTCCGCGCCGCACGCCCCGCTCAGCGCCCCCGCCCTCCGCCCCGCTGCCAGGAAGCGCCGCCGGCCCCCAGCGCCATTAGCCGACGGGCTCCACGGCCCGTCCGTCCGCCCCGCCCCGGTACGGCGCAGCACAGCGCGGCCCCGCCTCCAGCTGCTACGGCCCGCCCCTCCCCGCCCCCGCCGCGGTTTCCCGCCGCCTGCTGTGAGGGAACGGGGGCGCGGTGATGGTGGGGTCGGGCGCCCAGTCTCAGGGCTGGGGGCACCGCTCCCTCCTGAGGGGCGAACCTGCCGTGTCTCCTTTCGTGGCCGGGGGATAGGCACGGTGTGAGGAGTTTACAGCGTTAATAAAATCGTGATCCCCGTGGCGAGCGTCCCTCCTCACTGCCCTGACCCCGAGCTGTCATGACCGTGCAGGACGCTGGAGCTAAGCGACCATCTCGCACACGGTGCTTCACCTTTCTAATTTGAGAAGTCTGGGTGGATTTACAGAAATACCGCCCTCTGAAGGGAAAATCTTTTTGAAAGCACAAAAAAAAAAAAAAAAGCCCAACCAAAAACTTCGGAGATTCTGTATGAGGGAGTGTTCGCCTTGATGCATGTGTCAGGGCTGTGGTAGGATCGCTCTGGTTTTCTGGCATAAAAACAAGGCTGGCCTGGGGTGATCCCGTCCTTTGCTGAGCCTTAGCTCTGCATAAACTTACAGAGCCTTGCCTTTGGAACTCAAGAAGTGTTTGGAAGCATTCAAGGCCAGGCTGGATGGGGCTTGGAGCAACCTGGTCTAGTGGAAGGTATCCCTGTCCATGGCAGAGGGGTGGAACTGGTTGAGCTTTAAGGTCCTTTACAAACCATTTTGTGATTCTATTCCACAATTCCAGCAATAAGTTTTGTTGCTTTCTAAGCAGTGAGGACATCTTATTCAGTCCTTGCCACACCAGAAGCAAAACATTTCTGAAGCAAAACATTTCAGAATGTTTTCCAGAAGTTGTACAAACGAGAATTCATTGCAGTAGTTGTACCTGGCAGCTGTATCTGTGGTTACGTCCTTGTCTGAGGAGAAACTCAGAGGTGTTAGATTAAAAAAAGAATGTGCTGAGAATAAAGACTAGCAACGCTGACATCAATGGATGTTTTAGAAGTTAGGAATGCAGCAAAATGGGATTGGTTTAGATGTAATTTATCTATAGCTTTAATGGCTGCTAGCACTATAGTATTTAGGCCTCCAAAGGCATTTTAACAGCCAGATTCTGTCATTCTTTATTATGTTTAATAACATGGATTGTGCAAGTGGTCCCTAAGGAGTTGTCACAGAAGTTTGCTGGTCCTTTGGAGATACTTGCATGGTAAGCCATCACACAACGTAAAAAAAACCTAGCACAGTCTGGCCCTAAATTATTTAGCTGTGAAATGCTTTTATAATATAGAAGCTTATTGTTTTCCACAATTTAAAATGGCAACTGAGAAACAAAGCTACTGAGAAGCTGAGTTACAGTAGCTTCGCGGAATTCCTTTCCAAAAATTAAAAATTTGAAATTTGATTTCCTTAATCTTCCCAAACAATAAATGTATGCTTGGGTTTTATGGTTATATGGGTTTTTTTTGTTTCCTCCTGAGCTGAAATAACCTATTAATTCCCTTTTAACCTGCATCCTCTTGCTCTTTTGCTTTCAGAACATGAGCTTGCTAAAGGCAGGTAAGCAAATAAATAAGCTAAAGTCTCATAAATAAATAAATAAAGACATGGAAATGTGCTATTTGTTCTTTGTGCAAGTAGCAAAGATTGTAAGCAATTAAAAAGTTCATTTCAAGCCCTGATTATTTTCATAAAGAAGCAAATTGGAAAGGAGTTCTGATCCCCTGGGAGATAAGCTCTGAAGATCATCTCAGGACTAGAGCTGAAAAATATATCTTGATGGAAGACAGACATACTCCCCCCACCCAAAAAAAGTCTCCCATGCACATCTGAGGCCACTCATCTGAAACATGAAAGGTTTAGTTACAAATGAAGATTTTTCCTAGTGTTCCTATCTGTGAACTGCTGCAGATGCTGTTCTGGTAACATCCTGTGTCCATTGAAACTGGTGACAAAGCCCTCATTGATTTCAACAGCTATAGCTGGCTGAGGGGCATTACAGGCTATGTGGCAAAGCAGTATGGTTATGAATAATTGCTTCTGTACAATACTAGTTTTTGATAAGCCACAAATTTGTGAAACACTCCCTTTGTAGGCTAAAATATTCCCAGCTATGTTATGTTCCTAAAGACAACTTTTGCATACATCAAAATCAGTGGACCCAACTTTATTCTACCTCAGATCAACTTTAGAAATTTCTTAGTTGTAGATTTTATGCCTAAGAATTCATGTTGACAAATCTTGGCCAGAAGCTGCATTCTTTTCTGAGATGGAGTATGCTTGGCTACAGGAATTTGGAAAGCAGGAGGGTGCAAAAGCCACTGCTGAGCAGTTATGCAACCTACGTGTGGGTTGGGGTGAAACTGCTTAAATTAGGTCACAGTCTTTATTTTCCAAAGTGTCTTTGATTGCCTTAGTAATTATTAGTCTACAGGTGCCCATGAAAGCTTGATCTAAGCAGCTTTTGTTTAGGTATTTATAGAGGCTTTTCCTTATCTTTTGGCAAATTCCATGCCTAGAACCTGAGTCTGAAAAAAAAAAGTTTGGAAACAAGCTTCTTTTATAAGCAATAAGTTGTTGGTCAGTTCTTTTTCATGCTATTTTAGATGTTGCCATTGCAGGTACATTTTGTTTGTCAACTGTGATACTACAGAGGGCCTAGTGTCCAAAAAACATCTGGTCTGCTCCTGGGGTGCCAAATATTTTCTTACCTGATTTGTGATTTGCATGCACATTAGTTCCATAAGGAGGAGAAGGAATTTTCAACAAAGCTTTTCATTATCTGGGGCATTTGTTTGGGGGTGGTGGTGGTGCTCAAAAATACTTCTGTGAGACAAATTCATGGCTGCTTATTGAAGATCTCACTCTGAAATCGCTCTGTGTAGATTCCAATCTGGCACGAAAGGATGCAAAGTGTTGACACCAGGAGAAGTGACTCAGAGCTGTTCATCGGGGTTACTGGAGTTCCACACGTTGAGAGGCGGTGAATAAAAAAGCCAGGAAATTCTGCAGTTTAATTTAAAAACTTGTGTTACTGAAGAACAGATGAGCACCTGAAGTGTTTCCTTCAATCATTCAGTCATGCAAAACCATTTCTTCGGTACTTTTTTCTGAAGAATAAATATCGCAGACCAGAATAACTGAAAAATGGGCTTTTAATTATGAAAAGCCTCACTGCTGAGCAATCAAGAAGTTAAAAGTGGAAAGCCTGCAGGCAGTTGTCTGTTTAGCGAACTTAAACAGTGAAAAGGTGCTTAATTAAGAAATACCCACGTCAGCATTTAAGTGCCATGTTTAGAGTGTTAAAGGGACAGAAATGGCTTGGGGATAAGTAATAAACAGTAAAACCTGTCAGGTGTAGGCTGCTGATCAAAATCCACTGCATGGCAGTCATATCTGACATTTATCCACATATTAAATGCCAAGAGGTTAAAGATCGTACATGGCTAGCAAGAAGCTTCTACCCACATCAAAACATTAAAGCTGGGCTTTTATAGAGCCTTGGGAACACTTAATGGTTCCTATTTTGACAGAATTGAGTAAATTAGGAACTAAAGGATACAGAAATGAGAAAGTTCCAAGTGCAGCAGGAGATTCAGGGGCTTAGACCAGTAGACTATTGCTAGTGCCTGCCTCCAACAGTAGCTTTCCCACTTCACACCATGCATTAACAGCTACGGTGTGAGCCTGTGAAGGTTACTCCAGAAACAAACTGTTACCCTTCAGCTGCCCCAGAGTCCAGTGTGTGAGTGGTTACAGCAAGCCTGCCCACAGAAATAAAAAGCTGTGTCTTTTGAAATCACTCTCACTGAAGAGGGTGGTGAGGCCTTGGCACAGGTTGCCCAGGGAAGCTGTGGCTGTCCCATCCCTGGCAGTGTTCAAGGCCAGGTTGGACGGGGCTTGGAGCAACCTGGTCTAGTGGAAGGTGTCCCTGCTCACGGCAAGAGAGGTTGGAGCTGGATGAGCTTTAAGGTCCCTTCCAACCCAAACCATGCACTCATGTGGGGACACACGTATCCTCAGACAGGTTATAGGGATATTTGTAACCTCATGCATCCAAACACTCCCTATGGTTCTCTTCATCTATACTTCCCTTTCCCCGGGGATTTCCTATGAAACATAAACCAATTTAATACCTGAACCATTAACAGACTTCCTAAAGTATTACTGAGCTTTTCCCCATTCTGCCCTAAAGCTTTAGGAGTGTTTCCATCCTTGGCATGATAAGGTGGATCTGCTGTCCAGACACTAAAGAGAATTTGTTAATGACTGCCCCTTGTGATAAAAGTATTATTGAACCATTAATCCATCATGTGGTAACCTGCTTAACGGGGCAAGCCCTGAAACCCATATTTCATGTAAACTAGTGTATCAGACTTCAAATACACACTATGTATACAGGGTACTACCAGCAGCTTGCTGAGACTAAAAATAAAGTCAGCCAGTTGCTTGTGAGGAAGATCAGATCTGGGAGACTGGAGCTCTCCTCTAGCTGCCTGTGCTCTGCCTGGATAAATAAACAGCTTCAGTCTCCCTGGCTGACACGGCATAAATCTCAACAGTGCCAAAAGCTCATCCAGAAAAACATTCAAAAGCAAATGCTGTCAAGAAACCTGAATATGAGTGAGTTCAGGATCTGGAACATCATTTAATGTAGTTCTGTATACAATTCTCCCAGCAGCTCCAGACATACTCTTCTACAGTCTTCCCATCCACCCAGCTGCTTATTGCTCCCTTTCATTAGTATCTGAGTTCTCCCCAAATAATTTTACAAAATTACCTCCCTTTCACTCGTTTCACTGCTTGTAGAGAAAAATGTTGGTGATTTTATATTTCCTTGATCGATGAATGCCAGATAGATATCTGATGTGTGGGTTGGTGTTTGTGTAGGTTTCAAGATCACATTTGGCCTGATCCAAACCCCAATGCAATTATTATTTTGTTTGGTTTTTTTTCATTTACTTCAGGGGGTTAT